AACATGGGCTGATTTACTGAGAAAATGTTACGTTTCACATGATCACTTGTAATTTCCTGCTTGTACTAAAACAATATTTGACAAGGTTTGTTCCTTGGATGTTACTCGTTACCATTTATTTTTTTGACATTCCTTCTTTAATAGAGATCATGAGCAACTGCCTGTCGCAAAATCCACTAACTCATCAGAAAATGACGGATTAACCACTGATGTAATGATGAGATGTAGCGTGTGTAATAACTTTTTTGTGTCTGTCTTTGACAGTATTTTTAACAGTAGCTTTGTATTTCACTGTGTTTGTTAACTTACATTTACACCATAGTTAAATTACAGTGGTTTCATCCTGATAGCTATTTTTTTGCACATATGTAAAGTGACCACTAGATGGTGGTGTTCAGCTGTAGAAAAATAAGCAGACCACCACTGAAACTTCCAGGTGCCATAGAGAGGATGGACCACAGTCTGTGGGTGGACATTCAATTTATTATTATTATTATAATATTATTACCAACAATTATTGGGAATAAAAGATGAAAGCTGAATTAAAAAAAAATCTCCATGGCTTGATTTAAGATTGAAGGCAAACATAATTTTTATGCCCATATCCTCAAGGTGCATGCAAAGGCTTTAATGCAGTGCTAAACCTCTCACTGATGAACATTTATCTTGAATATACTATACTGTATTGAAGGTTGCAGATCCAGTAAAGCCTACAGGCTCCAGAATCACTTCATGTTGAGTTGGAGTCAAAAGGAAGGCTTGTAAGATAAAACTTTTTTGTGTTATTTTGACAGTAAAAAGTGTGGGAGTGTGGCAGGAAACTGGAGCACCCAGAGGAAACCCACGCAGGGGGAACATGCAAATTCACGGAAAGAAGAAGTCGCTGGTTTGGCAGCAGGGGGTGTCGGAGTGGATGGATGGGAAGTGGTGTATCAGGGGAGAAGAATGAGGTCAGGGGGTACAACAGTTAGGGAGGGTAAGGAGAGAGAGAGAGCAGGAAAAAATCTTTTAAACTGATTTCAGTTGTCTATGTCAGAGAGTGAGCCTATTTTTAATTTTGACTTTAAAGCACTGATTAGCTGTATGTATGTAAATAAAATGGTCAAATGTCTTTTTACGGATCCGTAATTCCCTAAAAATATTTCAAGATTTCTTCCTGGAAAATAACTATAATTACTGACAAATAGAGACGAAGTTCTGGGACAGCTGTTTCAAGTCTGTAGTGTTTTTAGCAGTTCCTGATTTCCAAAGGAATTTCCTTAAAAAAAAAACCCTGCTATATGAGCCTATTTAAATAAAACTTGCAGAGAATAGCTCACAGAATAAATAAAATACAGTTTATAAAGTTTCGGCCTCTGTGTAGCTACTGAAGCCAATTTTCACCAAGAAAAGACAAAAACAGCTGAAAAGTTAGGTATGATGAAAAAATATATATAGCCTACATGAAGACCCCTTGTTATGCAAAACAATAATAATAACAACAAAACAATAAATAAAAAGTACACAAAGATGAGACCCTAAATTAGACTCAATAGGATTAAAGTAACATAAAAACAAATAATAATACTGTATGTATTTCATGAATTTCCCCTAGGGGATAAATAATAAATAACATATCTATCTATCTATCTATCTATCTATCTATCTATCTATCTATCTATCTATCTATCTATCTATCTATCATAAAAATACTTAAAAAATCTTGTCTTACTGTGTCTTGTTCACGCACGCGCTTACGTCACTAAAAGAAAGGTATTAGGTCCTAACTGAGGGAATATAAGGGCTGCTCATCACTTGGATCTCTCCCTCCTGCACCTGGACTTCAACACGAACTTCACCGGTTGCAAACCAAAGCTGTGGAAAGCGAACTCTTGGAGAAGTGAATTCCTGGGAAGAAACTACTGGAGGACTATGACTGGATCCTGTTGGAGAACAAAATCACTGCATTACTGAACTACTGTGGAAAAGCAGAGACTGTGAATATGGCCCTGAGTAGACCACTGGTCCCTGAGGAACACCTGCTGAGGGAAGACGCCCCTGAAGTAGACAACAACCATGCAGGTAGGACAACTTTTACTTGCATTCTGTACTACTAAAAACATGTTACTGATTGATAACTGATTCATTGATTCATCATAGTTTATCAGTGTAAGCCAGTGTAGCTTAAATTTAAAGGTGGACAGTTCACATCTTGTCATTAGACCTCTTTCTCACTTTTGGTGAAAACAGACTCTTATTCGACGATTTCTTCGTGTATAATTATTATTTGAGGATCAGAATTTCTTAAAGATCCCAGGAAAAGTGTGGAATTCATTTACAATTAATGTAGTGATCTGAAAACACTGTTGTTTCGGTTTGAGGGCATCAAATTGTCCAAATGTTGCCTCGAAATTACTGGAAAAAGATGGCGACTGAGCCAAATTTCATAAAATGGCAAAAATCTGTTTTTCTTGAGCACCATGGAGACGATGGAACTTTTAGCTCCGAACGCCAGGACGTACGGGTATAAACACAGCAGGGGCCTGCTGCTGTGTGTGGATGGGGCCCTGAGTTTGTTTTCACTCTTGAAGCTTGACTTATTTTATCTTTGAGCTGATACCGAATGATCTCGAACTTTCATGTTCAGAGTTAATGACAAAAACAACTTGTTGGAAAAACTGTGATACTTTATGGCTAGATAAACATAATTATCCTAAAGAGGAACTGTATACGTCCTGAAGTGAACTTTTCATATTATGACATTGTGTTTGTTTTCAAGACGGGAGTCGTCAGAGAGGAGCAGAGTGACCTACGCTGTTCTTCCTAGCCACTACACCCACACATTTGTTATGATAAGGCATGAATCAAGTCTCTATTGAGTGTGTCTCATATCAGCAAGGATGTGAGGTCACTATCATATGTTCTGTGTATAAATCCTGTGTGAACTTTGTATTCTTTGACCATTTGCACTGCAAGCTCTTTGTGTGTAACTTGTTCCCTTGCTGCAAGAATAAATATCCTGCTCTTGTGAATTTTTATTCCTGAGTTTATTTGATCATTTTCCTAACACAACTTATTCCCAGGTTTTCTTCCAAATGCAGCAGAATACCAGTGCTGTTCAGAAGGAGATAAAATGGAAGATGTCTGGCTGTTTTTGGCCCTTCTTGATCCTGAGCCGTTGTTTTCACTCGTCACAGGGTTTGTAGGTGACATGTTGGTGCCTTGATCACACTGAACTGCTTTTAGCTCGTTAGTGTGGCATTTTTATTGGCCTGTTTGTGTGCGCACGCCCTGAGTCTCCTACATATCCCATGATTTGCAATCAATACACTTGGACGCTAACTACAAACTTCTACCTACAAACTACTATTTTTGGTCTGCAAAGATTTTTAAGATTATTTTTATTGCATGAAGGCCAAAAAACTATAGGCTATTTATTACCTACCAGGACAGATATCAGCAAGATCAAATTAAAGTTAAAGTTGTCTTTAAATGTGAAAACAGGGTCCAAGTTTCAAGTTTTTTTTTCTACCCAGAAAAACTCAGATCTAAATGACATTGATATTTCAACTAATGCCTGTCACCATATTCATCACAAAACTATGCCGTCCAACCAGCTGCCTTGAAACTGGTCATTATAACACGAGTTACAAAACTTGTCAGTGCTGTACTTGTCAGTTTGGGTGCATCAATTATATGTGTAAATACACCAGTAACTTATACTTTCAATCATGCTCATACTCCAGACACAAAGTTGTTAAATTTTAATCAGTGACTCAATCTCTTCCACTGTGATTGTGAATATACTTGTAATTCATAGTCAAGATTCCCATCTTTGTGAAAAAGTTTCTTTCAAGTTCAACACATCAATAGTTAAAGGTTTTTCCAAGTGACTAAGTAAAAACTGGTTATCATTCAGATAAATGCAGCATAAAATGATTTTCATTCTGTACAAAATAATAATAGAACTGCACAGGATTTGATGTTTATGTTAAGATGGGATCACACCTTGACTGTTAATGGCTTAGTGGCACATGTAGAACAGCCGTAGTTAGCGAACAGTGATATAATATTTTATCTAACTTTAGCTTTGATTATTGCTTATTTAGTCCTAAATATTTAATCATATGAGAAATACTGTTATTTAAGATGCTTTCACCTTTTCCTCTCAGGTAGTGTGAACTACATCATTGGACATCCTGCAGAAGATGGCCTCCCAGAAGCTATCAGGATTGTGGATGATGCCGAGGAAGACAAGTTCCCAAGCTACGTGTCATCAAGTGAGGTAGACGAAGACCTGGAGGAAGGTGAAGTCTTTGATGATACGGAGGACTGGTCTGACGGCATCAGCATTGATTCGGGGTATAGTGCCATGACTGAGGATTACAAAGACATGGAAGACGATGATGACAAGGGGGAGGAGCTGGGAATCAAACCAACCCTGGCCTTACCTTCTGAGCCGCAGTCACCTGCACCTATCTATCTAAGGTCCCCTCTTTCCTTGATCTAGGTGAATACCACTCCTTCGTATTCAGTGGATGGAAATATTCCATCCATCCATCAATTAGCAACAGCTACTCTGCTTTCTTGGGGTCTGGAGCTGATCCAAGGTGACAAGGGGATAGATCACCCTGGACAGGTAGCTAATCACTCACAGGGTGACACAGAGACGGAAAACCATTCAGCCCAATGTGTGAGTCTTTGGGTGACCTTTGGACTTAGACCCTGAAAGAAGACCCACATAGACCCGAGGAGAACGCGCAAAACCAGAACCTTGTTGCAGTGAGATGATAGTGCTGACCACTGCTGCATGAAATACGTCAATGCCTCCCTGCAGAGGTACTACAGGGAGGACCTTGTCCTGGTCTGACCTGCCAGGTCTTACAGCATCCCATCTAGCTGAGGTATTTCCCTGGCTGGGGTTTAACAGGGTTGTTGTGGAAAAAGGAGTCAGGGATCAAAAAAGAAAACCCTGCAGGTAATGTATGAAGTGCTCTACACATGAGCTGTTGCTTATGACAATGTGGGAGAAAAGGTAAGTATGAGATGTTTGCAGAGAAAATTACCTACCATAGCCTGTTATATAAAAGCATAGAAACTGTGTAAACTAGCTTACATACAGTATTCTGTAACTGTTCAATCAATTTACTATGTAACATCATTTATTTAATCATTCAACAACTATTTTATCCTGTTTACTCTGTTCTTTGATTTTCAACTAATTTGTAGATTCCCATGCAGAGGTATGTAAACAAGTATTAACATTAACAAAAGGGAAATTTCACTTATTTAATAGCTCAGAGATTATTTCTCTTACTCACTGTCATACTTTTATGTTTTTCTTTAGAAGGTGCAGATGCTTCAAGTCTTAATATTACTTGTTATTACTTCAGTAGTGTTACTGCTATTTCTTAATACTCTATCACTGGATTGCGCCTCTGACGGAGCAGAGCTGTCTAACATGCTGTTGTATCACAGAGTGAACTGGTATTTGTTTTCTTGTTGATGCAGGTGCAGCTCTGAGGGATGGACTGTTTCTCCGCCTCCAGCAGAGACAGCTGTTCTCCTCCAGGCTCCAGGAGTGTATGTACTGCATCAACGTCCACACAAGAAGCAACAACGTGGAAGGCTGAGACCCAACATCCAGGATTTTCTTGACGGCAGAGTGCATTGTACCAACACCTTTCATGTGCTGGTAAAGATGCAAATAGCAACTCTGCTGAAAGGTGCATGTATGAAGGGCTCTCAGCAAAACAGACCTGCAGATTTTATTAAAAATCTTAGACTTATGTTCAGTGCTTCAGAAGAGCTGAAAGACTTCACGTCAGAATCATTGCAGGAAAGAGTTGTCTGTCTGTCAGGTGCTGTGAATATGGGAAAAAGGCAGGCGGAAGTATTTTCAGCTGTCCATCCTTTGGGACAGTCCTTGATCGCATGCTGCTCCTCAGTTCATGGAAGAACTTCTCAGGTTCATTTAGTTTTTGGTTGGCATCTGTTTTAACTGATACTTCTTTAAAAATACCATTCTCAACAGCGTGAGAAGCAATTTGATAGTGTGGTCCTGGTGTCTCCATCACAGCTGAAAATACTTCCGCCTGCCTTTTTCCCATATTCACAGCACCTGACAGACAGACAACTCTTTCCTGCAATGATTCTGACGTGAAGTCTTTCAGCTCTTCTGAAGCACTGAACATAAGTCTAAGATTTTTAATAAAATCTGCAGGTCTGTTTTGCTGAGAGCCCTTCATACATGCACCTTTCAGCAGAGCTGCTATTTGCATCTTTACCAGCACATTTAAAGTGTTCCAGACAGCTTCAACGGTGTTAGAAGAAGCCACACATTTCACATTTAACACACAACCTATCTTGCGCAAATGTGCACCCACTGCTGATGCTCCTTGATCGAGCTCTGTGAGATTTTCGGGAGATTGAATATAGAGACAATACAGCTTGTCTAAAAAAGTGGTAAAGTGGTTTGTCTCTACACAGCTCTTTACAGCATCTACAGTTCTAACCTGTGATTCAAACAGTGCCAAAAAGTTATCTGAATAATAACCAGTTTTTTACTTAGTCACTTGGAAAAACCTTTAACTATTGATGTGTCGAGCTTGGTAGAAACTTTTTCACAAAGATGGGAATCTTGACTATGAATTACAAGTATATTCACAATCACAGTGGAAGAGATTGAGTCACTGATTAAAATTTAACAACTTTGTGTCTGGAGTATGAGCATGATTGAAAGTATAAGCCTGTTGTACTGATGTATTAACACATATAATTGATGCACCCAAACTGACAAGTACAGCATTGACAAGTTTTGTAACTTGTGTTTGTGAGAAGTGAACACAGCGGGGGCTGCTACGAAGAATCACCTGCCTGCTCAGTTTGTTAGAACATGTTATAATGACCAGTTTCAAGGCAGCTGGTCTGACGGCATAGTTTTGTGATGAATATGGTGACAGGCATTAGTTGAAATATCAATGTCATTTAGATCTGATTTTTTCTGGGTAGAAAAAAAAACTTGAAACTTGGACCCTGTTTTCACATTTAAAGACAACTTTAACTTTAATTTTATCTTGCTGATATCTGTCCTGGTAGGTAATAAATAGCCTATAGTTTTTTGGCCTTCATGCAATAAAAATAATCTTAAAAATCTTTGCAGACCAAAAATAGTAGTTTGTAGGTAGAAGTTTGTAGTTAGCGTCCAAGTGTATTGATTGCAAATCATGGGATATGTAGGAGACTCAGGGCGTGCGCACACAAACAGGCCAATAAAAATGCCACACTAACGAGCTAAAAGCAGTTCAGTGTGATCAAGGCACCAACATGTCACCTACAAACCCTGTGACGAGTGAAAACAACGGCTCAGGATCAAGAAGGGCCAAAAACAGCCAGACATCTTCCATTTTATCTCCTTCTGAACAGCACTGGTATTCTGCTGCATTTGGAAGAAAACCTGGGAATAAGTTGTGTTAGGAAAATGATCAAATAAACTCAGGAATAAAAATTCACAAGAGCAGGATATTTATTCTTGCAGCAAGGGAACAAGTTACACACAAAGAGCTTGCAGTGCAAATGGTCAAAGAATACAAAGTTCACACAGGATTTATACACAGAACATATGATAGTGACCTCACATCCTTGCTGATATGAGACACACTCAATAGAGACTTGATTCATGCCTTATCATAACAAATGTGTGGGTGTAGTGGCTAGGAAGAACAGCGTAGGTCACTCTGCTCCTCTCTGACGACTCCCGTCTTGAAAACAAACACAATGTCATAATATGAAAAGTTCACTTCAGGACGTATACAGTTCCTCTTTAGGATAATTATGTTTATCTAGCCATAAAGTATCACAGTTTTTCCAACAAGTTGTTTTTGTCATTAACTCTGAACATGAAAGTTCGAGATCATTCGGTATCAGCTCAAAGATAAAATAAGTCAAGCTTCAAGAGTGAAAACAAACTCAGGGCCCCATCCACACACAGCAGCAGGCCCCTGCTGTGTTTTATACCCGTACGTCCTGGCGTTCGGAGCTAAAAGTTTCCATCGTCCTCCATGGTGCTCAAGAAAACACAGATTTTTGCCATTTTATGAAATTTTGGGCTCAGTCGCCATCTCTTTTTCCAGTAATTTCGAGGCAACATTTGGACAATTTGATGCCCTCAAACCGAAACAACAGTGTTTTTCAGCATTCACTACATTAATTGTAAATGAATTCCACACTTTTCCTGGGATTTTAAGAAATTCTGATCCTCAAAATAATAATTATACACGAAGAAAATCGTCGAATAAGAGTCTGTTTTCACCAAAAGTGAGAAAGAGGTCTAATGACAAGATGTGAACTGTCCACCTTTAAATTTAAGCTACACTGCTTTACACTGATAAACTATGATGAATGTGAATCAATGAATCAGTTATCAAATCAGTAACATGTTTTAGTAGTACAGATGCAAGTAAAAGTTTCCTACCTGCATGGTTGTTTTGTCTACTTCAGGGGCGTTTCCCTCAGCAGGTGTTCTCAGGGACCAGTGGTCTACTCAGGGCCATATTTCACAGTCTCTGCTTTTCCACAGTAGTTCAGTAATGCAGTGATTTTGTTCTCACCAACAGGATCCAGTCATAGTCCTCCAGTGTGTTTTTCCCAGGAATTCACTTCTCAAGAGTTCGCTTTCACAGCTTTGGTTTGCAAACCGGTGAAGTTCGTGTTGAAGTCCAGGTGCAGGAGGAGAGATCCAATGTGATGAGCAGCCCTTATATTCCCTCCGTTAGACCTATACCTTTCTTTTTAGGACGTAAGCGCGTGCTTGAACAAGACAAAAACTCATATTTAGTGCCACGGGTGCTCAGCTCCGAGGCACTCCTCTACAGCTAGAATAGCTGTAGAGCATCTATTAATATTCCTTCGGGCTTATTATTATTCGTTCCGCCAAATTTTGGCGCGTAACTCGTCCCCGCAGCTTTGAAGAAAACCCCGGTAATATATACATCAAAACGTGCATCTTGATCCCGGAAAAGAGGTGCTATGACTTTTGGTGTTAAAATTCCAAATTTTCCCAAAGTTATTCCAAAATACTGGGAATAAATTAATTCATTAGGAATGCATTGGAATTTTCTTTAAAAACCACAAAATTTCACCTTTTTTCTACAAAATTTACCTTTTTTCTGAGTCACCCAGCTCTTTCATACCTGCACGTAGAAATGTGATTTCCAAACTATAAAACGGAGGAAAATTCTGTTCATCTCCAAAACACAACAACTGTTTTTTAAACATAACATGTAAACTTTTCAAACATGACACTCAAAGGGAGTGGAAACAAACTTCAAAGTTAGAGTGACAGCGTCAAGTGGCTAGAGTGAGAGCGGAAAAAATAACTTTATATTAATCGGCCAGGCCAAACGTAAAGGAGACAATAATTCTTTCTGAAAAATGTAGACATAGGTTGTTGGATTCATAAAATGTAACTTTGACAGGCAGGGTCTGCACAAAATTTAAACGGGGTGCCGAGTCCGGCAGCAATACCTGTCTCACCTCATTGACACCTATGTATCGTCTTTTTTTTTCAAAAAAGAATCTCACTCTATCTTCGCACTGAGCTTACTCACTCATTTTAAGGAATATCTGAATAAAATAGAGACTGTAAGAAACTTCTGGCTTCAGTGTCTGTCACGGTGTTTTCAGTTTTTGAAAAGAAGTAACGGTTTTCTCATAATTTGCAATTGTTTGAAGCCATGTAGAAGCCAAATTCTGGGCAGATTTTCACATTGCCATGGCAACGGCAGCTCCTGACCTGGGTGCGTGTGTGCGTGCCTAGCAACCAGATAACCAACTCTCCAAGCTCCGCTAGCTTTACATTAGCCGCATGTTAGGTCTTAAATTACATTTAGTTACGTCTTAAATATGTAAGTCCATTTACTGCTTCCTTTGTTGCTTTTCTTTTTGTTTTATTTAAATAGACCTATAGAGCAGTTATTTTAAGGAAATTCCTTTGGAAATCAGTAACTGTTTATAAACTCAACACAACAGGCTAAACTGACTGAATCAAAAGTCCCAGAACTTTGTCTCTGTTTCTCTTTGATTTCTTTTTCAGGAAGAAATCTTGAAATGTTTTTGTGAATCAGCCTACTGACCCATAAAAAGACATAGCCTAAATATAGGCTCACTGTCTGAAAATAGAGTACTGAAACCAGCGTAAATATTAGGATACAGTTAGGGCTGATATCACTTGGAGAGGTTGGAGCGAGGCTCAGTCCCCCCCCACAAAGAGCTCCTTTGGTTTTCTCTGAACCTCCTTAATCTGATTTTCTTGATTCCTTAACCTCCCCATCAGTTCACACATTTTCCTCTATCTTCCTCCCTCGTCATCCTTAGCCTGCTTCATGAGAGACACCAGGAGGCAGGATTTTTCCTCTTGGCCAGGTCTTCATAAAAATAGATATTTTATTAATAACTGTGACCAAGTGGACACCACTATGCCTGTTATCTAATAAACCTCTCTGCCTCTTCCACTTCATATCTAAAGAGTCAAACACATTCCTGCACCAACACAGAAACGTGGATGATGTTAGAACTGTGTATCCACACATAATAATGAGGTTTCCCTATGTTTCATGTGAACTATGTAAAATCATTCCCCAAATATGATCAAAATCCATCACTTAAATAAGCACTCATATAGACACCTACATTTTCAGGTAATTCTGTTTGTTTTTTTCTGTGCAATTCTCTTTGTTTTTTGCAACCAATATGATTATGTTTGAGAAAAATCTTTCCCCTCAAAGAGTTCTACCATTTAAAAACATACTGAAGATTCAACATAGGGAGCTGTCAAACATCCAGCAGACATGTAATAAGAATACTGGCAGAGGTAAGTCTCATAACATTAGTTCACAGGAAACACTCTGCTAACATATACATATATCTAACCCACCACATTAATAAGATGATATATTTAAGCTGTCAGAGCCTTTCCTTATCATCCTGATCCCTAGCAAACACTGCTGCTTCAGTGCTGATATTACAGCTGCCTCCGCTTCAGTTATCACTGTTGCATTCACATAAGGCTCTGAGAGGGTAGTTTTGCTATTGTTCTTCCAACTCTCCCACTATATTCTCAGAGGTTCTGGTACCAATGCTGTCCAATTATATATATGACTAATTTAGAAGATAGAAATATAAATCGTCCATGAAATAAATAACAGTCAGTGAGCAGCAAATGGATGGATGTATGTATGGATGGATGGATGCATGGATCAGCACACACACACACACACACACACACACACACACACACACACACACACACAAACACCATTAAGTAATCTCTTTCCTACATTCTCCATATATCTCAATAACTGGGCTAAACTAACTCAATAATTAAATCTAAATTTAAAATTGCGTTAAAAATTCACACCATAAATTCCTTACTCAAACCCCTGAACGCCCCCACGAATACTTTGAAACTGTGTTTTACGCGCAGCACGTGAAGGCAGCATCAGGGAACATGTCAATCGGTGTTGATCACCTGACCCAAACTCCGAGTCACGTGACTGATATTCCATCCTCGCCATTTTGCAATGTGGGGGAGAGAGAGGCCACTTTTTATGGCTAACGAATAAAACAAAGTAGTTTTATGTGCTGAGGACAAAGAGCGCTGAGCCTTTCTGTGTCAGTGAGTATATTTTCACTAAATTACAGTCACGCGTTTCTCCGTCACTCATTGACCAAAAAGATAATTAAAATGCCCTTGTATAGCTGTTCAAGTGAGTGAATGCTAGCACTGTGTGGGACTCGTGTGTCTGTGTTCGTGTGTGTGTGTGTCTTTGAATAGCACACAGCAAGCTGGGAAGCTAACTGCGAAGCTAACCGTGTGTGTCCTGCTTCCTTTTACTCAAATTTCGTTTTTTCTTCGTATCAAAGTCTCTTAAAGTGTCGTAGCATGTTAGCTAACATTAGCCGGTGGTTGTTCGATGTTTCAGTGTGAGTTTAGGGTGGTGGAGTGTGTTCAGCTTCATTCTGCAGAGGAATGAAAATATTTTTAGATCCTGACATAACAGGTGCTCTGAGACTGGTTCAAGCACATAAGGGTGTCTACAGAGAGACTACACTAACTGCACTGTAGGCACTTTATTACAGAAGGCCTAACTTTTACATTTTCAAGTGACAAACTTTAAGATATTTTACAGTGCGTTGTTTATTTGGCTGGTTTAAATTGTTTTTGTGACACATCTCTCAAAGATGTCCATTTTTGTCAAACAGATCACTCTTCTTTGCCACTGTTTATAAGTTTCTGGATAATAGCCAGTAATTACAGCATGTGGTAAACTCTCTCCTAATGTGTATCCTACTGTTTTGATGTAGTCACACAGAAGCAGAAGTAGGAGAAAGGGGAAGATGAATTGTGGTCTGAAAGTGACAAAGAGGAAAGTGTTGGATTTGCAGAGATGAAAGGATTTCAGCCACATGAGCTGTGACCATTTCCCTCAAGCTGTTTGTAAACAGATGCACATGGTGCACATGTAACTAGCAGTGAGAGGGCTTATCAAGGATGAGTTAAGCTATCACACTTAACACACTGGTTGTTTTTTCTACTTCCCTTTTATTCTTAACAGCCAATCCCCTCACTAGACCCTGGGTAAATAGCATAGATAAATAACAAAGTACAAGATATGATCAATAAAACTTTTTCTTCAACAGATAGAGTAGTTTTGCTTTCTCTAGGAGCCCATAAAGAAATGTAAATAAAACTGTAACTGAAACTGTGAATAAGACTGTGTTTAGATTAAAATTAGTTGCTTATTGACAACAACTTCATTCTAAAATGCAGAAATGGTTAGAATTCATTGGTGAACACATACATGTCCTGTGATGTCCATACAACTTACTGTGTGATGAATTTTGTGTTAAGGGTTTTGCTGTTGGGAGATCTGTTGTGAAAAGCAGTTGTAAAATACTTAAAGTCAACACAAATCCTTGAATCACAAAGAAGCCTGTTAACTAACAATACCTATCATTATGTCTAATATTGACAGAACTGTATGTATTATTCAATTGATTGATAAGAGAACAAAAATAAACAAGTGTTTTATGGTAACTGTTTGTCATTTATAAAGCAAAAATGCCAAACATCTGCTAATTCCAGCTTCTTAAGATTGGCTGCACTTATCTGTTATATTGTTATAAATTGAGTAACATTGAGTTTTGGACTTGACAAATAAGCAATTTGAAGACATTATAATTATAATGTCATTATCATTATAATCACTGGCAAACCATGATGACCATTTTTCATTCACTAAAGTAGCTGTAGTCAAATAATTTATGTTGATAATAATAATTTGAGAGAATCATACTTTAAAATAACGATGGCTGTTCTGCCTCTGAAAATGTCAGCTTACTAATGGGTAGGTAGCTGTCAGCTAGGATATAGAGGATTTTATCTCAAACATGCCATACTTTTCTATAAGAACACCTAAAAATTAATTCAAATTGTTTGAGTATTATTAGTTGATAAAATTCTGGAGGAACATATAGATATTTTAAAATACCTGTCCATAATTAGTTTTAAGGGGTCACATCTGTTGAAATCTAGTGCACTATAAAGCATCAACCAGATTACAAACTTATTTCTTTGTTTTCTGCTGTCTGTCAGGTCATGGAGGAGATCAGCAATGTCGCTGTACTCATCACACACTCCTCCACTGCCTCCTCGTCCTCGTCTACTCCATCAGCGCTGCAGTCCCTCTCTCAAACCCAAACCCAGCAGGACGTAAAGAAGGACACCTTCCAGAGTTTTCAGCAGAAACAAGCTCCCGATTCTCTCATACAGGTGATTGAGAAGCTCAGCAAAATTGTGGAGAAGCGTCCCCAGCGCCGCTGCAACTTGGGGGGACAGAAAAGAGCATTCCAACAGGCCTCCTCTGCACGGGGAGGAGGAGGAGGTGAGGACGGGGCGAGGGGGAGCAGAGGAGGCTCTCCCAATAAGAAACTGAAGAGGAACTGTAAGGAGGAGGACAGCACAGAGGAGGTGAGATTAGATGGCAGCACAGTTGATTGTGCTGTTTCTCCACCTGTGTCAGGTGACAGTAACAACAACAGCATCGCCTCCACGGTAACAGAGGTAGCTGGTAACCCCAACAGCAGCAACAACAAGCGGACAGTAACATGCTATCAGTGCAGCCTGTGCCCTTATCTCTCCCAGACACTGCCCTTGCTGAAAGAGCACCTGAAGCAACACAATGAGCAGCTCAGTGACCTCATCCTCATGTGCTCCGAGTGTCGCTTTACCTCCAGAGACCACAGGCAGCTGGAGGCTCATGTCAAGCTGCACTTTGACAACGGAGGCAACCTGAAGAGGAATTCCACTCCGTTGGATACCTGCAGTGAGGTGAAGGAAGAGGGTTTAAGAAAGCAGAAAGGGGACTGGACTGGGAGCGGTGGCAGTATAGGGACAGAGGTGGTTAAAAGCTCAGTGGACAGTTCCAAAGCGCTACCACAGAAGAAGAAATGGTATAGCCATGAGGAGTATGGATTGTACCGCTGCCTGATCTGCAGCTACGTGTGCAGCCAGCAGAGAATGCTTAAGACCCATGCCTGGAAGCACGCTGGCCTGGTCGACTGCTCTTACCCCATCTTTGAAGATGAAGACGGGGCTCCCACGACGAGAGACTCCCAGGCTGCAGCTAACACTGCCGCAACCAGCGAGGAAGTAGTTGTTCTTTCCCCAGCTCTTCAAGATAAAAGCCTACAAAAGCTCCCCACTGCCTTCAAACTCCAGCTCTGTGTGCCATTGGCTGTTGACAATAAACAGGATGTGTTAAATCATCCGGTCTCCGATCTTACCGAAAGTCCAAAAACAGCAGCGGAAGAGGAGGAGAGTGTGTATCCTATCAAAGAGGAGCCCATGGTGGAGGTGCAGGTGACGACGGAGGCAGAGACTGAGGTTGAGATAGATAGTCACCATGATAGTACCTCTATCACGGACAGCTTACTGTCATCAGCACAGAAAATCATCAACAGCAGTCCCAACAGTGCTGGCCACATCAACGTGATTGTAGAACGCCTTCCCTCAGCTGAGGACTCAGTCATGGCCGCTAACCCACTACTTCTTAGCCCAGACGTGGACAGGGACAAGAACTTACTGGATGCAGAGGAAGTAGAGCGGGACCTCGTGGGAGCTGTGAAGGATGAGGTGGTCCTCGACTGCAGTGCAGGTTCTGCTGACAGCCAGCCATTAGGAGCTGATATTAAGTCTTCTGTTGCTAAAAGTAGCAATGCTCCAAGGGATGAAAACATTCCCCCAGCTGGTCGAAAGCGGACACATTCTGAGTCCCTCCGCCTGCACTCACTGGCTGCTGAGGCCCTGGTAACTATGCCAATGAGGACCCCTGAACTCCCCACCTCCAGCACCAAGGTAAGCCTCAAGACTATAGCAGCCCAGGCACCGTGCCAGAACATGGGCCAGAAACTGGTAGAGGTGACTACAGCTGGACAGAAGGCTTCTGACATGGAGACAACAGCAGCTCTATTGGACTTGGAGCTTGATAGTGAGGACAGAGAGGAAGAGTTGGGGTCCCTGAGCCTTGGGGAGGTAGACGAGGAGGGTCCTGCCGCTAAAGCTGGCATCAGCCTGTCACTGCTCACCGTCATCGAAAGACTTCGAGAGCGCTCGGACCAGAACACCTCTGATGAGGATATCTTAAAAGAGCTTCAGGACAATGCACAGTTCCATAACGGAGCCATGGCCGGTGTGGTTACAGGGAACGGAGCCGGGAGCTACATGTGTACCATCCCGGGAATGGACGGGTTGGTTGCATCTCCTGATGGTGGTCTGGTGGACTACATCCCCGGCAGTGACAGGCCATACCGATGCCGCCTATGTCACTACAGCAGCGGCAATAAGGGCTACATTAAGCAGCACCTACGGGTGCACAGGCAGAGGCAGCCGTATCAGTGTCCCATCTGTGAGCACATCGCCTCAGACAGTAAGGACCTGGAGAGCCACATGATCCACCATTGCAAGACCAGGACGTACCAGTGCAAGCAGTGCCCAGATGCCTTCCACTATAAGGTGAGGAGATGTCAACATTCACAGTGTAGAATTGCAATACTGTTATTTTAAATGTAATCCAGTAATTAGACTGCTTACATACTAAATTTATAATGTTAGGAAATTTAGAATCTGTTGAGGTAGCTCTAGTGTTAGAGTCTGAACTGGGGTTCTTGTCATGGTAGAATGGGCAGATGTGCGGGCCATGCTGATTTGTATACTGTAAAGGAACAATTTTTATGTACTTCAGAGTAAATATAACACTAGCAGTGCACCGCTTTGCTTCCTCAGGTTCACTTGTGCCACTGGGTAACAGTTTCCACGAGGGCTGGGTGATATATGACATGGGTGATATATGATTTCAAATCAATATATTTTAAACTTTTACTTCAATTTCAATTAATGAACTATTAGTTTGGCGCTTATCAATCTGTCTTTTTTTGAGCCATAAACATATTTGGCAATGTGAATGTGTTCCAAGTTATTAAACAAACTGCTGGTGTTAGCTCTGGTAGCTATCCATGCTGCATTCACAACTGTCTGACGGTCTTGACTGATGAGACCCAATCAGGAGGCGATCAGTTTCTGTCCGTCCAGATGAAAACACAACCCCCGAATTTTCAAACTATGTCCTCATTATTTCTATAAAAACACATTAGAAGATCTAAGATTTGTTTGGGTTAAAAATAAGGGAATGTGGTGATGTATATACCTTGGCACAACTTTTCAACTGTTTATACTGTGGTTTCTTTCCTTGTAATATCTTTGATTATATTATGATTATTGTTGGCCATGATGCAAATCAGTTAGCAGGATTTTTTTAAATGGAAATATTTTATTTTTCACTAATGTAATGAATTAACTTGATTTCTTGGGTGTTTAATTCAGTGGATGAGACAAAAAAATGCATTCACGTTTTTTTGTTTTTTTTTAATCAATTTTATCCAGTCTCTAAATAGATTAAATTAAACAAGATTAAGTAATTTTGTTTTGTCACAATTGATATCGCAGTACAAAATGACATACAGTCCAAACCGTAAGTTACACATTTTTCATTTGTCGGGCTCTGTGCCTCAGCTCATTCAATTTGAAATAAGAAATGGAATACTACATTGAAATCTTAGCTTTAATTTGAGTAGGTTCACATCAATATAGAAAGACCTGCGTGGGAAATAGTTTAGGGGTTCAAAGGTAGTTTATAGATACAAATGAAGTCAAACAAAAACATAAATGTTTTGTGGAAAATGCTTTGCAGTGTGCAGTGACCCACAGACCTCAGCAGGCACTTTATATCTTCCCTGGTGATGCTCTCCCAGGTCTTCAGTGCAGCCTCTTTCAGCTCCTTCTTGTTGTGGTCTCTCTATCTTTGGTCTGGTCTTCAGCAGGTGGAGTTCAGCTCAGTTGAACTGAGATCAGGTGACTGACTCGTCCAGCTGAGGATATTCCACCTCTTCACGCTAAAAAGCTCCTTGGTTGCTTTGGTCATATGTTTAGGATCGTTGACCTGCTGGATGATGAAATGTTGTTCAGTGAGTTTTGATGCATCTGGCTAAACTGTGCAAACAGAAAGGACCTGTATATCTCTGCATTCACCCTGTTGCTTAACAGCCATAACAGAACAACCACCATGATTTGACAGATGAGGTGGTGGCTGTGGGTCACAAACTCTCTTTTTTTTCTCTCTCTCTCTCTTTTTTCCGTCATTTTTATAGAGGGTCATTTTTGTTTCATTGGTCCATAGAACTTCGTTGCAGAACTCTAGTGTTTTTTGTGTGTGTTTTCCAAACCGCAACCTGACCTATCTGTTTTGAGGCTTAGCAGGGGTTTGTGTTTTGTGGTGAGGTTTATGAACTAATATTGATGCGACACACAGCTGCCCAAAAAACATGTAGTAGCTAAATGTCCAATTACTTAATTTGAACCCTTGCAATTTGGGGCACCATGTAATAAAATAGTAATCCCACATTGTTCTTTTATAATGACATAAACAAGTTAAAACTAAGACTAGTATCTATTATTTTATATCAAATTGAATGAGCTGAAGCACAGAGCCTGAAGGAAAAAAAATGTGTAACTGTAAAAATACTTGCAGTCTGGAATGTATGAGAGCTGTAGCGATTAGTCAATGCATTGATTAGTTGATGGACAGAAAAATAATTGGCAGCTATTTTGACATCTTTTATTTGTTAATGTTAGTTTCGATATAAAATGCTAGAAATTCCAGCTTCTTAAATGTGAGGATGATTTGATGCTTTCCTTTTTCATTATATGCCAGTAAACTGAATATTGATTTTTGGACTTTTTGGTACTTGGACTTTGGAATAATAGAATACTTGTGAATATGTTAAATTTGCTTCTGGGGAATGATTATGCACATTTATAACTTTTGACATTTTGTGGACAACGATTAAATGAGAACACAATCAGCAGGTTGATAAATAACAGAAATAATGGAGGCCACAGTTTTTGATTGGATGACAGCAAAGATCTCAGTGTAGATATAGTATATGTAGAATATTTTGAAGACACTTTTTTTCCACAAATACCCGTGTGGAACACATACACACAGTATATTGGAAAATTCTTTGTTGCATTTGTTTTTGTGATATGCAGACAGTGCTGTGTACAGGGATATGGAAATCCAGAACCCCCCCCCCCCCCCCTCCGTCCTGTCATCCAGTTTTTCTTTCTCAGCAATTCCAAGCATTAAAGAAGTCGAGTTAAAGCTTAAATTAACTATGAATTGCCTTTGTGAAGTGATAGACCTTGTCGGTAAGAGATGAAAGTTGGAAGAGCCTGGTGCAGTTCAGCAGTGGAAGTTTGTCTCGGTTTGATGATGCAGGCAGAGGAGTGAAATATTGATTCCACTGCAATCGTGGGACTCAAGTGCCGAGATTAAGTTCATCATATTATTCAGCAGATTTGGGAGTTAGGCTAAAAGAGTTTGCAAGTATGAGTGGTGGAGGCTGGCCCACTGCTATGACAAATGCACTAGAGGTGGCATTAGTGAGTGAGGGGTCTATTAAACTTGCACAGTGCGTCACTGAAGATCACTGCGAGCTGTTTTGAATGTCAACTGCATATATTTTCATTTCTTTGTGTAGAAATCTTATTGTATGTGTGTGTGTGTGTGTGTTTTCTTTACCTAGAGTCAGTTAAGAAATCATGAAAGAGAGCATCATAGCTTCAGCAGTGACACGGCAGACCTCACACCCGTCACTGAAACTGTGGCCACAGTGGAGGAAGGTGAGAGGGTAACAGAGGAAGGTAAGACATGTTTTTATGGCCTCGTTATGTATCAAGATAGGAGGTTTAAATGAGCAGCTGACACTCTCCTCCCTCTGTGTCACAGTTCTCCTGTTATCATATTGTGATGTGATTTTTGTCAGTGTGGTTTTCAGAAAGTTGTAAAGCTGTTTCAATTGTCCTCTGTTAAAGAATGTGGTGTTCAGAAGATGTATAAGTGTGACGTGTGCGACTACACCAGCTCTACATATGTTGGAGTGAGGAACCACCGGCGGATTCATAACTCCGACAAGCCTTATCGGTGAGTTGTTTTGAAAACTTGTTAAAATGCACTACTACTGTCACCTGAATGCAAGCACTCATACCAGTCACTAACCAATCCAGACGTACTAAGTGGCCACACCTGCACAGGTACCTGCAGTAACAAGGAGCCATGAGCAACTGGTGTAGGGTTTTGGTTCATTAGCATTTTGAACTTGTTCTAATAACAAAAGCTTAAAGTTTATAGGAAATGTTCATATCTATATGTAGAATACATGTGATGTGCTGTGCACAGCAGGTGATGTTACTGAAAACATCGTATTAGCACAAAGAGTCACCAAGGTTTTTTCATGAAGTCCAGGTGCCACAACAGTGTTGCTATGTCTCAAATCAGATACTCATGTGTAGCACAATGTGTACACAATATACTCACTGGCATAGTGCGTGAATTTAAACAGGGTAGTGTTGTCCCAAAGCAAACACTGTTGTTGTGCACTCACTGAAAATGACAGTCGCAAAAGGTGACCAGGATTGCCGCCCACCTGCTGGCTGCTTTGCTCACTTTACCTGAAAATGAACATTCTCCTTTCCTGTCTACCGCCTTTGTCATACGACATGGAAATTTAGCCGCCATCGGCACAGGAGAGGTGTCCTCCTCCTTCGGCTGCCATTTTCACAAGTTTAAGAATACATTCATGGTCCCTCCCCTTCTTTTACGTAGCCAAGATGGCAACCGTTGAGGGAGAGAGGTGTCCATTGTTTTACACGTTTTGAGTGCACGATCGCATTTATAGTGCACTGCATGTTAACCATACTTGTCAATAAGTACAAACTCAAAACAGGAAGTTGTGAGTAAGGAAATACACAAATGGAGACACAGCATGTGAGTGTTTCAAAACTTTTTACCAGCTAGATAATGACTCCTTAAATGTTTTGTATATTGCCCTTTGCTTATAAAATGTGTACAGGAGAGATGATGAAGAAAGCAGTAAGTTCAGAATTGGAGGAATCTGTGTGTGTAAATTCCAGTCATTTGTGCACAGTTGTGCATGATTAGATTCTGGCTGGATGCAGGAGAATTAAACTGTGTGAATTATTGAGTGACCATGTAAAAAGTACATGAACATAAATAATTTATTGAATTCACATGCTTCATAAATTATTGATTATTAATGTAAATTTGTGAAAATGGTCCATGTAATTGTTTTAATCATTGAATGTGCCTTTTGTTTGACTTCAGTTCATCCTCTTCACTGAGAGGAAAGCACATTTAAAACATGAGAAGTTTTTTTCATTATGAAATGTGTTTCAGTGATAAAATCGAGCCTCATAGTTGTCACTTGAGACATTTTATATACACCATTAATTCTTATTTCTTTGATTTAACAGTGTCCTTACACTTTGGCTCCATGTACTATAGATATATGTACTTTATATTCTACTTAGCATGGCGGGGTAAAATTTCAATTACAGCATTTATGGTCACAGTCAAATCCAACATGACAGCAGTTTCAATGGACAGAACATACTATAGCTTTATCCTTGACATTGATTTTGTTTTCTACAATAAACTCCTTGACATAAAATACAGCAAATTAATAAAGGTGACACCAATGTCTGTATTTTTGGAGACTGATTTCATATCTCCTTTCTGCTGCAAATTGGATATCAAGTTTTTTTCAATAATTTTTTAACAAGGCTTTAGAATATGATATAAATTTTTTTCCTGCATATTAGAAGAAAATCTTAAATAGAGCATGTGGTTTAAAGGGTTATGAAGGAGTTTTTTGCTATTTGGAGGAAAAAACTCTCACCCCCCCACGGGGTGTGTGCAGTGTTCAAAATACTCAAAAGACCAGTAAATGTCCACACCAAAGAATTTAGTTAAATTTGTTTAGTAAATCTTTTCAACAAGCAATGAACAAATACAGAATTCTGGATCAGATGTGTATTTCCCTAACCAATAACAAGTGTTGGTCAGTCCACAGTCTGATAACCTAACTTTCCCTGATCCAGTGTATTTATACAGATACAAACAAAGAAATGTGCATGGGCGTTTTGTCGTCTTCTGATTGGCTCTGCTGGCTTCCTCCTTCCCATCTGACTCCGACCCTAAGTGAAACCTAAAACTCAGCGTGCCAAAAAGAAGACAGTTAGTGTTTACACATAAATTACCACTTCTCTACCTCTGTTACCTCCGGCTGCCCCCTACACATGCCCATAGAGTGGTCCTTATCAGTGGTTGTAAATAGTTTCCTTGAGGCAGATGTTTAAACCACAACTCACCCTTAGCACCTAAATATCCACTAGTATAAATCATTAAAGTTTTAGGTTTAATAGCCTGAAAAACTCCAACAGTTATCAGCATTTAAATGGATAGAATATCCCCCTTCAAGTTCAATACCAATCCTGTATTTTTGTTCTGTTTTGTGTCAGTCATCAGTGAATATTACATTTTAAGTTTTCACTTTCTGTTTCAGGCAGTGATCTAACCAAATACCATAATTGCCAGATACTGAGCCTAGCCATTTTAGAAAGATCCATTAGATGGCAGTAGAGGCCGAGTAATGCTCAGACCAGCACAGTGCTCGCACTGTATAGACACAGTCACACTTCCTCACACTGTCTCTCTCTCCCACACTCTGTGTTGGCACTTGGCCTTTGTGTTAACACGTAGCTGCCGGGAGGTTTGAATCCATATGCGTGTTTGTGTCAGCTTTTTTAACTGTCGCCAGTGCACTAAGGTCAAATGTACGTACAGAAATACTCACACACCTAACACGGCTTCTGTCTGCTCTGGAAAAGGTCAGGTAGCATTTAATTGCTGTTTCTAACCAGAATGATCAAACTTCCTGTTAGCCAATGGTATGAGAGCAAACATAGGAAATATTATATGATCCAGATATAAATATTCAAGTACATCCAATTAGGTGAAAAAAGAACATTCAAACTTCAGCAACAGAGATAATGGCTTTACATGCCTGAATAAAGCAACTGTCATGGCCGAAAGACTGTGACGTGTGCTTCAGCTGAATCTGTAAATGTCACTATTGTGTGTATGTGCTTTTGTTCTAGTCCTTATGTTTTCATGAGGACAGATTGCACTCACCAAGCACTTTATTAGGAACATCTGTATACCTGTTTATTCAAACAATTATCCAATCAGCCAATCACGTTGCAGCAGTGCAGTGTATAAAATCCTGCAGATACAGATCAGGAGCTTCAGTTAATGTTCACATCAAACATCAGAATGGGGACTGATTGTTGGTGCCAGTCAGGCTGGTTTGATTATTTCTGAAACTGCTGATCTCATGGGTTTTCACACTTCAGTCTGTAGTGTTTTTACTCAGAATGTCAGTCAAGATCAGAAACCTGAGGCTGCAGTGGACACAGACTTACCAACACTAGACAGTTGAAGACTGGAAAAACGTAGCCTGGTATGATGAATCTGGATCAGAATTTGGCAACATGAATCCATGGACCCAACTTGTCTTGTGTCAACAGTCCAGGCTGTTGGTGGTGGTGTGATTGTGTGGGGAATGTTGTCTTCAAACTAGAATGCCACAGTCTATCTGAGTATTGTTTCTGACCATGTGCATTGTTTATGATCACAGTTTACCATCCTCTAATGGAGAGTTCCAGCGGGATAATGCTCCATGTCACAAAGCTAAAGTCGTCCCAACCTGGTTTCATGAACATAACGATAAGTTCAGTGAGCTTCACTGGCCTCCCAGTCTCCAGACCTGAATCCAGTAGAACAGCTTTGGGATGTGGTAGAACAGGAGATTGGCAGCTTGAATGTTCAGCTGACAGATCTCCAGAAATGATGTGAGTCAATCATGTCAGAGGAGTCTCAGAGGAAAGTTTCCAACCTCTTGTGGAATCAGTGACATTAAGAATTAAGGCTGCTTTAAGGGCAAATGGAGGAAAGTGCCCAGTGAGTGCATATACTTAAAATGAAATATCGACGTGTAAAGATGCACTTTTTTTTTTTTCTTCACACATGAAGTCTATGATTCTATGATGAATGTATGAGGACCAGAGCACATTTTCTTTGCCATGGTCTGTCGTCTTGTCTCTGTACTCCCGAACACTGGATTTGAAATGAAACAAAGACTTTAAGGTTAAAGTGCTGACTTTCAGCTTTAACTGCAGTCCAGAACGATAATGACAGGGCTGCTACTCTGCACTGTTGTACACTCAGCCTGAATGTAAACAGACTCAAATTAAAGCTGAAAGTCAGCACTTTACCCTCATAATCATTGTTTCATTCCTCATCCACTGTGTTGGAGTACAGAACAAACATGGCAAAAGCTGTGTCAGCGGCCAAGTACTTACAGATTTTGCTTTTATCACAGGTAATAGAATTTTGCCACATGTATACCCTGTCTAGTCTATGACGTATGATAGTGTTTCACCAAAATTGTGCTGCAGTGCTCAAACTTCAGTGAGCTGTCCCTCTGCTCTGTGTCTGCAGGCATGATCACATCATTGTGAACAGATTAGCTGATGTGTGCCAGTGCATATCATCATCTGTGAGAAGCATGTAGAAGCGCACAGTCCCCTGCATGCACGCAGTGGGTTATTAGTTACAGTGTATAAGCTACATTATAATTAGCAGAATTAGAGTAAAAGGTCCCAGTAGATGACATTTTATTGCAATACTGATAGTGAAATATAAGTAGCACAGGATGTGAAGGTAAACGACAGACTGGACTAATGCTAGTATTTAGCTATTCCTTCATCAGCAACGTAATTGGCAAAGCGTGCAGAAGTGCCAGTCATGATCATGTTACAAGGACGGTATCTGCATTGGTATTCATTCTTTTCCACCATTGCAATCAAATGGCAAAACCTTTCCATTTAAAGTGCTCACTGTACAGTACTGTGCTCTGTAGCTGTGCTGTACTGTGGTACTGCCAGGAACCATGCTTTTCTTGATGTATTTGATGCACAAAAACCTCATGGGTGTCCATCATAAACCTTTTCTCACAAGACACAGTTGCCAAAAGAGAGAGCATCACATTTGCATTGGTAAATTGTCTGAAACACTTTTACAGGCTCCTGGTATAAGATTATAATGTTTGTGATTTTGTTGTGAGTTTGTGGCAATCCTGAAGATTTCAGCCCTGGTTGATTGACCCATAGCTACTGGTGGTAACAGCCGATGCTGTTTAATACACCAGGTCACAGAGGTCTGGAGGCAGCAAAACAAAATATTGTTTTGATAAAGAAGTCAGGCGGTAATTGGTCTTTCTCCATCATTCTGTGAGAAACCGTGATGCTGTACACGCTCTGAATCTGAATCGGAGGCTCAGAGAAAGGAGTTTGATACCTCCCTGAGAAGTTAGTGGGCAGTCTGTCGCCTGCAGCTCTTCGTCTAGCAGCCCACTGTAGCCGCTCCTTGTTACTCCCTGCAACATTTCTAACTGATCCTGTTTTGTAGTTTGATGAACAATAGCATTAAGTGCTAAGCTCACTAACAAATACATTGTGTATCCTGTTACAACTTCATAATAAAAGTCAACTTGTGTTTTGCCAGTTGACTGTTATTAATGTGAAGCTGAAGCAGCAGGAAATGTCCAGTTTGCATTAGAAGCAACTTAATACAGCATTTTTTTCTGTGTTTCTGTTCCTGTTTCAGACACTCAGTTGACCAACTATATGCCAAACAGTACATCTACCTTTTTTATGTGCTAATTGTCATTCCAATTTCAACATCACCAAAATCTACTTTAAATCTGTAAAGTTCCCCTCATTTAGCAGATCAGTACTTTATCAGTAAGTTTAACTAACTATATTTTTTAATTGATTCCCAGCTGAGTTATTAGTAATGCTTTTGATTTTCTGATTATGTACTGAGAAGATGTGGCATATTTTAACTTATTTTAACTAAAAACAGGGTGTAATTCTAGAGCAATAGTTTGATATTTGTTAAGTTCGATGAGAAGATTAATCAATCTTTTATTTACAATAAATATGAAGCTACAGCCAGTTAGCTTACCTTACAGAAACCGCCAACTTGGCCTAGTCCTAAAATAAGAAAATCTGCTTACCGTGTTTAAATCTCACTGATTAACAAAATGTTAATCATTATCTTGTTTATTTGATCTGTACAAAAACCAAAAAGTAAAAACAACAAATTGCTGTTTTACGGGGAATATGTACTGGTCTGATTCTAGGCTGGGAGCAGTAACTTCCTGCTCGTGACTTCACTTCACAGAAACAAAAATACTCACCAAAACTTTTTTTTTTTTTAATTCCTCTTGTAATGCAATCTGCTTCTCCACTGCACATGAGTATGCACATACTGCTCAAAACAGTAACAGCCAAATACGCTGCTTCTGTGCCTTGCTGTTGATACTCTCCACATCTCTTGCTTGAGTTTCCTTCAGGCAAGCCCATTTTATTTTCCACCTACCACACCACAGACACATAAAAGTACGTGTTATAATATCAATTTGTTCTCTCCTGGTCCACAGGACAATGTTGTCAGAGTTGTGTCAGTCCTCGTATTGTTGTTGTAGAAGCAATAAAACATTCAGCACAAGCAGGCTGATCAACATGCATAAAAATTGAATTCATGAAAAGGTAATAAAACTAAAACATTTGTGTTTTCTATTTTAAAAAGTAATGCATAATTATATTTCGTTTAAATAAAATGAATATGAACAATTACACTTTTCTTTTTTTTTTCTTCTTATCTTCAGTTGGTCAGATCTGTCTTTTTAATATTCTAGCCCCAGTAAGCGTCACATTATAAGGGTGCAATTCTTTGTTTTGCGTTTTATTTAATTTAAATGCTGTGCAAATGGCCGTGAGTTGAGTGTAGCCTCTGTTTACAGACCTTGTATTCGCCTCCAAGCAACTAAGAATCCAGTTTCATCTTCCAACCCCAGCAAAGTGCAACAAAGTAGAAAACATTACGATTTATTCTTATTCTTAAAGCAGCAGTTTCCTCTCTGTTGTGTTGTAAATCCCTTATCTCCCTCCAGGCTACAAGTGTAAAGAAGCTTCATGATGGCCTCAAAAGGCAGCTTGTTAAAATAGCTGCTGCTCTATCTCCATGTTCTCTCATCTCTTGTCTCTGCTTTTTTTCCATTTTCCAGGTGTTGTAGCTGTGATTTTGCCACCACCAACATGAACAGTTTAAAGAGCCACATGAGGAGGCACCCTCAGGAGCACCAAGCTGTGCAGCTGCTGGAGCAGTACAGGTGAGAAACATCAAACACACACTCACTACAGAGAGAGATGATAAGAATGACCAGTGACCCTCCGAGGTGAGAATGAAGAGCTGCTGGGGTTATCTGAGTCCATTTGAGTCTGACTCTACAGTGGCATGAAAAAGTTTGTGAGCGCTTTGGAATCACCTGGTTTTTCTGCCTTAATGTGGCATAAAATATCAGCTGATGTTCATATAAGTCAAAAGTCCAGAAAAATACAATGTGCTGAAGCTAATAACACACAAACAATTTTCAATCAATAATTTTCCGTGTCTTTATTGGAAACAGCCATTAAACATTCGCAGTGCTGGGGCCGGTTTCACAGTTATTTCAGACTGCTCTGTAGCGTTAGACCAGTATTAATCTTGCTCATATGTTAGTCTAATACAAGTCAGACCGTTTGACAAAAGTAAAGACTGACTCATTTTAAGCCAAAACATTAGACACCTTACCCCTAGGCTAACTCAGGCCTAAGACCAATGTTACCATGTTACCAACAATCGATGACACCTACGCTAACCAGTAGCACCCAACAACAACAAAAAAACAGTAGACACACATTTTCTGCTGGGATAGACTGAGCTGAGTGGTTGGATGCGGCTCCTCGGTTTGCCCTTTTTTTTTTTTTTTTTCTTAGTCTTAATTTACCCAGAATTCATTGTTCCACAGTCCGGCTTAAGATAGTCAAGAACTAAATTGCTTCGTGCAATGGATGAATTTAGACATCTATCTGAAGTCTGACAATTTGTTCTATCTAAGCCACAGTCAAAGTCTATCTTTGTGAAACCGGCCCCTGGTGGAAAAAGTAAGCGAACCTTGGATTTAATAACTGGTCGAACCTCCTTTGCAGCATTAGCCTCAAACGAGCTCTTCCAGAAAGCTGGTGATCAGACATGCATGTTCTGACATATTCTCAGGATGTCCGGTGTGAGCGGCTCTCTTCAGGTCATTTCACAGCGTCTCTACTGGGTTCAGTTCTGGGCTCTGACTGGGCCACTCTGGATTTTCTTTGTTTGAAGTCATTCTGTTGTAGGTCGTTCGGGGGGGGGGCTTAAATCTTCTTAACTGGGCTCCCACTTCTATGGATAATAGACACAGAACTAAATTACTTCATTTACAGACAATTTGTCTCTGTGTGTATTGATGAACTAACAGTTCTTGATCATACATCTTCAGAGAACTCTCTTTTTGAAAGGCATGGTTCATATCAGCAAATGCTTCTTTTGAATCAGATTTTCAGTCAAAACAGCTCTAACTCACAGCTCTCCAATCTTGTTTTTCATTGGTTGGACTCCAGGTTTACCACCACCTGACTCCAATTAGGTTTTTTTGATGCCATTAGCCTGGGGCTTTTTTTTTTAAAAACTTTTCCAACCTACACTGTGAATGTTTGATTGGTGTTTTCAATGTGGACAAGAACAGTACAATGATTTGTGTGTTAGTAGTTAAAATAGAGATGAAGATTGGATCCCATTTTAAGACAAATTTGTATATGAATTCAGATAACTCCAAAGGGGTCACTCACTCTTTCTTGCCACTGTATTAGTGACCTGATGTGTGCGCTATCGTGGTCCCAGTAGGCTGGAGACTTGAGAAATGGGCGTCTGATTGCAACGTTAGTGGTTGGTGGGTGGAGAAAGAGAATGAGAGTGAACACTCAGTCCTTTGTAAAATGTTAAATATCCTCAGCCCTGAGCATGGCACTGATTGCTGATTGCCACTTTACTGAATACCTGTGCTGTGTGTAGGGATGGGTATCGTTAAGATTTTAATGGTACTGCTACTCTTACTGATAGTGAGAGATCTCTCTACTTCTGTGAGAATAGCGAAAATATACATACATAGAAGGATATTTGACGGAGTTGGTGAAATAAATGTGCAAAATAACGTTTATCTAGCGGAGAGAAACAAAAACGATAGCGGAACCGCTTATTGATACAGCGGTCTTGAATAATGTAGCCCCGGGGCCTGTTCAATACCGGGGCTCGTAACCCATCCCTAGCTGTGTGTCACAGTCAGCAGTACCTGCAATGCTGGGATACACGATTCCATACAGTACAAGTGGGACAGACACATTTGTCCATTAAAGGGGCTCTCACGTTATTTAGTCCTGCACTTTCATGAAGTTGGGGGACTCGTTCTGTATCACACAGATGGATAGATTGACTGGCGTCATTGCGACAAACAGTATTGTGAGTCAGACAGATTTTTAAAAGAATGGTGGAAATCGAAGCAACAGAGGGTGATACATCCTGGTCTCTTTCACACCTGCAGTCCTGTTCATTTGGTCCAGGCCAAGAAAAAAAGTGATGCATTATCACCTTTTAGTTCAGATTTGGTCTGTGTTGACACTGGCTTTATACATATGGACTACCCATGTGGAGAGAATCATATTCTGGTGACTGACGGCCAGTCAGGCTGCACTTTATTGATTATGACCACTATTGGCCCAGAATACAGTTGTCCTGACAAATGCTGATGAGGTAGAAACAGAATGAAGAGGGATTTTGTACTGTAATATTAAGAGATAAGGAGATAGCTTCTGCGTGGATGCTACACCTCACTCACTTTTTAATGAACTGCTAAAATACCCAAAGCATGACTCGTGTATCCGTCGCTGTTGTAACTCCTTTATACTTTCTGATCCCTGCACTCATGTAAAATACACAGGCTGCATATACAGACTGCTTCCCTGATAGATCACCACCATCAACACTTGGGTTTATTAGTAGTGTAGGTTTTGAATTCCTGCTAAAATCACATATCGACTGTCACACGGTCCTGTGGTTGATCTTCTTTGCAAACATACCGCACCACCGTTTGAACCTGTTCTCACAAGACCTTGCCCAGTCAGCTGTCATAGCAAATGTGCTCGTTCTTTAGCCTAAATGATATTTGCTGCTTCAAGCAATTGGGTCGTTGATAAAGAAATGACCCATAATTCTTTTAATTTTGACAAATGACTTCACCAGCGAGCTGTAAATCCTATTTCTGCCCTGCACTCTTTGTCTCTGTCTCTCAAGCTTAGTATCCCCTGTGGAGTGTTGAGTCAGGATGATTCCTCTTGATAGAAAGTAGAAGAAGGATTAGTAGAACCTCAGTACGCATATTAAATCAACTAGGACTTGATCCGCTCTCATTCCTATGCTCATCACCCCTCCTTTTTTATTTCAATTTTATTTTCATCTCTCTTCCAGGTGCTCTCTGTGCGGATACGTGTGCAGTCATCCTCCGTCACTCAAATCCCACATGTGGAAGCACGCAGGAGACCAGAACTACAACTACGAGCAAGTTAACAAAGCAATTAACGAGGCCATCTCCCAGAGCAACCGGTAAACACATAAACTCAAGTACAGTGGTATCTGCACTTGGAGTTTCTGTATTTGTACATATCTACTGTATATCCACTGGCAGTGTGGCCACATTCATTCTGATTGAAATACCTTTATACAATAAAAAAAAAAGAAGGTATGTGAAGACCGACCTTTTAAACAAAGCAATGTGAAGGAAACAACAGGTACGAGATACAAACCAGTGTCGCCTATAGGTGTAAAAATTTCTAAAGCAGTGTTTCTAGAAAACAACCACATTAGGAAGCTGCAGCTCTGCTCTTCAATTGTAATAGCAAAAAATCCACTTAAAGAAATGTATTGTAAATGATTGTGAGAAAAACTTTGAATAGTGTATGTGACTTTGGGCAAATAACAACAAGGCAGATATGTTATGCACATACCATGGATGTGGTTAGTTGATTATGATGTCACTGGTTTATTGTTTATTTTTCCTAAAGCCTCTTTCAAAAGTAGCTTTCTATATTTATTGCATTGATACACTGAGGTTTGTGTGAATGTGCAAATGTCTGTGTTTCTCTCTATCAACTGTATCTTCTATGTGTTAACTCTGAAGCTAATTTAATACCAGTGATAAAACACTAGCTGGCTATTACACACAAAATGTGAGATTCAGCTAATTGCCAAGATTGAACTTGTACATGTGATTATTCATTATTCATCATTATGTTCCTCAAGTAACTTTATTCATCTATTATACCACAAATGATCCTGATCCTTTATTCCCCTCAGAGCTCCTCAGAAGTTGTCCGCAGTGCTGGAGTCGGTGGCAGAACGCCCTGCAGTGGCCCAGCCCTCAAAGGAAAAAGTGAAGGGCCCCATGGAGCCAATGCCAACGCCTACACTGACGACAACAACAACTGCAGTTGACCTGGCTGCGGACAGCTCAGCTGTTCTTCCCGCACCCACCACAGACCCTTCACAGTGGCCCGGTGAATCAGCGAGCCCCCAGGGGAAGGACCCCGCACAGCTCAACCCTCAGTCCCAGAGCCAGCCGCGCACATGCCAGGCCCCTGTCCCGGGCACCAGCATGGAATACTGTGTGCTCTTGTTCTGTTGCTGCATCTGTGGCTTCGAGTCCACCAGTAAGGAGCGGCTGATGGAGCACATGAAGGAGCATGAGGGAGACATCATCAGCATCATCCTCAACAAGGAGCAGCAGCAGCAGCAGCAACCAGAAGTACAAGCAAGCCTCCAAACTGCAGAGTGAGACCTCCCCTCCCCTCCCTCTCTATATCTTAACACTGACCCTGTGCTCTTACAGCGATCTGCTGCCCACAGAAGTATTTCATTGTGTTTCTTTACCTCAAAGTGGTTCTGGTGGAAATCAAGTTGTGGCCATTTGACATCTACTTTACAATAGTAGCTAACTCTCCTGTCATTTGTCAGCACGCTCTGTGGTTAGGTCGGCCATGGTGTCGGAGAGTTACAACTGTAAGGCTGTGACAACTACTGTCCGATGCAGACACCTTGAACAGGTGTCAAGAAAAATGATGAAATGATTTTCTGAGTGGCATATCCTTTGAAAGGAATGTTAAAAAAAAACAAAAAAAAAAAACATAAAACAATGTTATAAGCTGTTTAATATTTGTATCAAATAATTTGACATTGGAGACACAAAGTGTGTCTGTAGGGAAGCAGTGTTGACTTCAAGGGACAAGCCCGAGCTCAAACCCAAGTTAGATTTTTCACTCTACAGGGACAAGTTCATACCTCACAAAACCACACAATCCCTCAGTAGAAAAAATATTCACACATTTTCCAGTCTAATTCATATATTGACTATAAGGCAGCTCTTTTATTGCTACTGTAATATTTAACGTATTTAATTCGACACCGTTGAGGCTCTAGCCTTGTTAAGGAGGTACATGTGCAAACTCACCAATGCCTCGAGGCATGTATCACAGCTTGAATATGATTTAATATTTATCAAGTTTTTATGCATGTTAGTCTCCGTTATGCCAGTTAAGAGAGGCAAATGTTTATCGTTATTTGCATCTTTTTTGTTTTTGTTTGTATGAGTGACTGTAATTTTTACTTGTTGGATTATAAAGTAGCGAGAGAAAGTGATAGTTCTCAGAGGAGGTGTGGAAGTCGACTAGAGAAAGCAGAACTCGGTCTTTGATGAGTGGTCTTCTGGAGACAGAGGTCTTTGGTTTTGACTGACAAAAGGAATGATTAAAAGGGAAGTTAGCGTAGGTAGGGCTGTTGTTGTTTTAATTGTAAGGTGCCTGGATATTTGAGAGCAGGAATATGTTGTATTGAATCAGACACACCTGTTTTCACATGTGATTGTGGTGCTAGGCACACTTTGATAGTTGTCATTGAAGGTATAGTCTTTTTTTTTTATAGCCCATGGAATTTATGTTGTATATAATAACATTTTTATAATTATTATTACTTTTCTTTTTGTCAGCATTTTTAAAATACAAACTTTCTAGTGTCAAACACAACTTGAAATGACTGCTGTCCCAGCTGAAATACATGCCTGAAATAAGAAGACGTGGATGTTAAAATAAAAGTTTGGAAGGTGACATGTTTTTGAGGTTTCTTGGCAGAGTCCAGGAGTGTAATATAATAACTGCAGCGCTGGCTCAGTGTAACAACGATAAAACAGACAAGTCGATCAATGAAGGTTTCATGTTAACTGTGATTGATTGTCTCATTTTCATACACAATGAATGGCAACAAATGGCTTTTTCTCAAAGGAAAACATTTGAACTTGTCGCCCAGAAGCTTTTTACGACAACCAAAATATATCTGGCACTTTAATGTTAAATCACGTTAAACTAACTGTGCCATTTGTTCAGGACACAAATAAGAAAAATGGCCGAGGCTTTCATGTTGAAGACCACAGAGCCTTATACAGGAGAACGTTTGTGTTTCTGCTACAAGAACCCATCAGAATCACATCAAAACATCCAAAATTAACAGAAAATTAAATCAGATTGAAGATAAGGTTTATTCTTTTAAACCCCAGTCTCAGATTTCAACCCATCAGACGTCACTATGTTACGTTAATTCATCAGTATGCCATCCCTCCCTTACAACCACACAGACAGAAACAGGAAATTAAGATAAAATGGAATATCCATAATTCATGCCCCCCCGCCTTACATAACAACTCGCAATTGTGTTTGCGTGCGTGTGTGCGTGCGTGCGTGCGTGCGCGTGCGTGTGTGTGTGTGTGTGTGTCTCTCTGCACGTGTGTGTACATGTGTGTATGTGTGTGTATGTGTGTGTATGTGTGTGTGTGTGTGTGTTGCATTGTGAGTAAAACTAAATTAAATCTCTATCTCAAAGACCTGCTACCTGGGCTGGAATTCTCATTATCATAGCAGATAATTATTGTCTGGCTTTTAATTTACAATTCTACGTGGCAGAATTAAGGAGGACGGTGACATTTCTGAAAAAAAAAAAAAAGAAAAAAACTGGGGCTTCAGTGTCCCTCCCATCGGATTAACACGGCATGCATTTAAATGAGCAGTGAGAATAAAAGCCTGGACCGACCACAGACACACCTCACCCCACGCTTCTCATTTCTATTATATGGGATCTTCCATTAGTCTGACAGCTCGTAATTATTCAGTTCCATAAATGAACACTGCGTTAAAGGATAAATTTGGTTAAACCTGGATTTTATTTCCATACTTGTGACGATCATTTCTATGGGCCAGTAACACTGTACTCACCTGGTTAATGTCGGAGTAAGGTTTTCACAAAAAAAAAAAAAAAAAAAAAAATGCTGAGCTCTCACTGCCTCAAATGTGCAACATACTAACATTACTGTAAGGCTTTTCCATTAAACACAGTCACAGGCCTTTATGGTGTCAAATCTAAAATCTCTTGTTGTGATTATTTGTGCAGCATGGCTCACTAGCTTCCTTCATGTTGCAATAGCATAGAAAACAATTATAGCCTCACCTTCAAGCACAGTTACACAAACTTCTTAGGAAGGGAAACCAAAGTGTCCCTTGTAAACATCCGTGAGTTTACAGCCCAACTTCCTGGTTCAACTGACCCTCTCTACTTACCGTAGTTAGTGAGTGCACAGTTCTCAACAGTATTTTGGGTGCGCTCATGTTTGGATTTAGATTTTGGTACAAATAAAGTGTTTTTGATAATGTCACTCAACTGTTAGTTTGATTATAACTTGACTAATTGTGTTTCTTGCCGCTTGTACTTTGTTGTGGTAATGAACCCCATGTTCTCAACAATTAGGCCGGTAGTTTTTTTCTTATTTTCAACAAATCCCTTAAGATTTGGTGGGTACAGTGTTATGATAATCAATAGAAATGATCGCTAAATCTACAAAAAATAAAACCCAATTTAGGTACTAAACGCACAGAACTTATGACTGTACAGTAATGTGTTAACTGGGAATAACATAATAGCTTGACACTGTGCAAATAATACATTTTAGTTCAAGTTTTACAGCAAACCAAGCACTGCAGTGTCAGTCAGACCTGGAAGATTTAGTAGTCATGTACCACGGCCTTTTATACTGATTCCAAGAAAGCTCATGACAACAGTTCCAAGTAGTTACCATGGTGGTAAATGGATGTAGGTCAAGTGGGATTTTGTGGGCAGTGTTGTGTCCCATTCGGTGTCACAGATTGCAAAAGTGTGTCAACACAGCCTGCAGACACTTCAAGCATGAAAGCAAGTGTGTGGTTACCTCTTTCAGACCATCCCTGTTCACTGTAGCTACAATTCCTTATTCAGTTATAATTCACACCACAACTACAGACACATAAATCTGTGCCATATGAGGTGATTTAAAATAGGAAAAACTGTCTTTTGTTGTAGTTGTGCCTTTATTTGTTGGGAGCTAGAAGTTTGACCTTTCTGCCAAAACTCAGATATCAGTCAGATATCCAACTGTTCTTATTTTAATGGTCAGTCAGTTATATTCAAGTGGGAGCAAAAATCTCGATCACCTCAGTAGGTTTTCCATGGACGCAAATCTACATTTTCTTTTTTATTTAGCATTTTTATTTTTATTTAGTTTGTTTGAAGCGACAAACAACAAACCAAGTATCTGAAAAAGCCCTTTCATATATTACCACTAGCTCTTTTAGCTAGTAATGAGCTCAAACACTTGGTAATGTATTTTTAAGTATGTACATATGTAGATGAAGACTGCAAAACCTAAAACTGACAATTTTTTTTTCTTTTTTTTTTTTTAAAGAGAAAATCTATTTTTAATAATAAAAAAAAAACAAACAATTGAGGTAAAAAAAAAAAAAATCAAGTTTTAGATTGAATTTTGGTTCTGTTCTTATTTACACCCAGTCTGTTTGAGGAAACTGAAAGTTTTAAGCTAAATGAGCCGAGTATATTTAAACCAAAGGACGTGGAAACGTATAACATGTCTGTCCTGATCAGTGTATTTTCACTCATACTCAATTTTGTAATGGAGTTTCAACATTGAATTATCTCAGACAGCAGTGTGAGGTTTGCTTTATGTTTATTTATTTCTAGGACATCATAGGCGGTATTATGTCACTACTTTGCCATTGTATTTTTGGTAATAAAGGCTGAGAAAAAAAATGACTTTGTCTTTGGTCATGTTTGTGAGTACTGTGAATATTTCACCATAAACTGGAGAAAAATCTGAATGTAATATATATTTTTTAATTAACACCCACATATTTTAAAGGTCCCATATTATATAAAGGTAAATGTCCATGTGTCGTTTGATTATAAAGCAGGTCTAGGTTCTATATTAATACTGTGAAAGTATCAAAGCCTCAGTCCACAGAGAAAAGCAAAAAAAAAAAAAAAAAACTTGTGTGGTTGTACAATACTTTTTAGCACCAGATGAGAGAAGTGAAAATGAGTTCACAGTGTAAAAGGCCTTCAATTTCTTCTCCTCCTTAGCATCAACTATGGCGCCATAATATCAGACTGTGCCTCAAGTTCCCTCAAAACTCAATGAACTCATTCTATATTGACACAAGGCAGTTCTATGCTCTGTCTCATTGTGAAATGAGAAACATCCATTGTTCCGCTTTGAGATCAGTGTAAACTTGTTCTTGCATCTTAAACATTGATGGATTACTGAACAAGCCTATCAGTCACAGGCCGAGGGGTCAGGGCCATTTTATATGTCCGTGCCAAGTGGGCCACTGTTTTATAATGTGTTCATGTCCTATTTCTTTTTCATGCAAACCCAGCTTCTTCTTCACCTGCTATATCCCACGCTTGGAGGGAGGTTCACTTGTCTTAGAGCACATACAGACAGATAAGACAGATAGGTAGAGACACAGTGTGTGTTTTTATTAACCCTTACAAGTTGTGGAGGGGTTGGGTTGAATGGTAATGTATGGAAACTCAAACTGCTTCCAGCCTTCTTCTGGGCTCCTCATCTTGAAGTGAACTGATAAAAGGTATGAGATATGTAAAGTGCTCCAGACCTGTGCAACTCACATGGAATATTGTTAGAAAACTGTCTTATAGCATTCTAGTATGGTATGAGAGTGTAAAACATGTCTTCTATTACTTTACACATGACCACAGGAGTGAGAATAGGTTTTGTCCCATCCTCCATTTTATTGCAACAATTCTTTAAAGTAGGGTTAGGGTTAGGGGTCCAGAAGCCACCTTATCACACTGTTATGCAAGGCTGTTTGCAAGGTTACGATCTGATTAAAACTTTTCAATACACAGGGAAAAGAATTCAAACACAGTTGAATCAGAGCTTTTATAAGCCTTCTTAAAAAATGGTTAGAAATCAATTGAAGTATACATCCACTACTGCATTCAGGCAAAAATACATCTTTATATTCAGGTAGTTTTTTTATTGATTATTTCTTATGAAATACAGCGACTCAAGGTCCAGCAGTGCAATGATAAGCCAAGCCTATAGTGCCTCCCATGACTTCACGCACACATGCACAATTTGAAAGAGAAAAATGTCTGTTTCTGTAATCCCTTTCGCTTTTACATGAAACCCTGACTGCACAATCAGGAAAAAAAGAATCATCCCCGTCTATTCATTTCTTTAAAGGATCAAGTTTGCTACCTAAACCTTTTAAGGTCCCACCATGAAAGTGGAGATCAAGGCCAAATATATATGAAATAAGGCAAAGAAAGAAACAAGGTTGAAGACAGGGCAAGAAGCTGGAGCTACTCCAGAATCAATTCAAGGGACTCTTGCAGCTGGTTTGCTTTTCAACTTGTTTAATGGTTAATTCCCAGATTTCCTTGCTCTGTGAATCTTGTTTTGTGTTACAGTGAGTGAAAAAAGGAAGAGGATTTTTGATCCCATGGCGGCTAAAGGGAGTCAGATTGGGCACACTGGGAGAGAGGAGGGATATCTTTAATGGGCCATCTTCCTGCAGTCTCACTCCCTTGCTTTGGATGACAAGACTTAGTGAAATGAAAGAAGGGAGGAGGGGGAAGAGGGCAGATTTAGCTTGGTTGTATGTGTGCATGCAAGGAAATGATTCAAGGGCTAAAGGGGCCAGAGTTAGAGAGTATGGCCATTAAACAATCTGTTTTCTTCTCCAATAATCCTTCTTTCCCACATGAGCCCAGCCAATTTATTTTCATAAATCTCTTTGATAATCTCCAGGTCTTTCATGTTGTGCACATAGACCCCGTCCTTTCCGTCTGAACGCCCTGCGCGCTCTCCCACTTGACCTGTTTGCGGTCTCAAGGGCACTTGTCAAGACAGTACAAGTTTGGGAATGTTTTTGATTGACTGAATTGATTTGTTTGTGTTGTGGTTTGGGTTGTGTTTTTAATGGTGGTGTATATTTGTGAGAGAGAGAGAGAAAAAGGAACATTTAAAGGATAATACACAGACCGCAGTGTGAACCGTTTCCACAGGGGAAAACTGTCAGTAAATTAGCCCTGAGTCGCCCCGAGTAACCAGGAACACAGAGTCTGGAGAAACACACGCTGTTTAATTTTTCAGATTGCATTTTTCAGGACTGTGGCTGATTGCATTCACCTCCATTGTACAGAGGTGAAGGTAGAAATCTCACTGATGGTTATCTCAACCTGGAAAACACATGAAAGAAAAACTGTCTGCAAGATACCATGAGAGAAGAATTTTTCATAACCCTTTTAACCCTTAAAATAATCATCCAGTTTCCTTCTGTAGCAGAAAGTATCAGCACACCATTTCCACACTCCTCAGCCTGGCACTAGACATGACAATTTCCTCCTTTTATGATGCTGTAATTTGCACCACATATAATAAATAAATATTTAAGAAAATAATCCCTCTGTATCTGTTCCATTATTACTCACTCCTGCTGAGTCCTGCAGATCGCCTTTGTTGCTGGATAATGATGCATTTTTACATTAGCCAATGAAATTTTTTCACAGCAGAGTCGGGACGACACCTGCCAACATGTGTATTCTGAACACACGTTGCGGAAACTTCATGTCACCTGGAAGTAATTTTGAATATTATAGCAGGATTATTGGTGTTTCTTTTAAAGTGCATTACCTACCTGCTGTGTTTGGTCAATAGCAATAAATCAATAATGCATGTTTGCAAATGCTGTTCAGAGCTAAATCACCATATTTTTCAGAAACATCTTAGCAGGAGTCATATAGCCTACTATTTTTCCCACACAGAAAGAAATAGAAAAAAAAAAAAAAAAAAGAATAATTTCTTAAACATCAATGTTATCTTTGGCAAAGAGCAACTGACTGAAGAGCAGGAAGAGAAGTCAGATATCATATCAGTGGAGTAATAGTAATAGTAATAGTGATATCTCACAAGGCAGATACAACCAAAATAAATCACCTTACAGTGGGGGAAATTGGCTCTGGTTTCAATGAGGGTTTTTCCTCATTTGATGTTTCTCTGGCTGTTCCCACCACCTGCCTAAGGGCAACAGATAAGTGAGCATACAGTCAGACAAGACAATCCATACACATACTAACTGGACAGCATGTTAAAGGAATAGTTTGACATTTTGGGACATAAATTTATCCATTTTCTTGCTGAAAGTTTCATGAAAAAATTGATACCACTCTCATGTTTTTGTGATGGGGAAATAGACCTGTTAATAAGCCACTTTAAAACCACAAGGAGTTGATTTTACAGTTTTTAAATGGATAAAATAAACAAGATTGTTACAGCCTTTGTATTTTAGTTTGCACATTAATATGTGGTCCATCTTTTGTCTCTGTGTATGTTAATTCGTTTGCTGTACACTTGACACTGCTGTTTATGTTAAATTAGTTAACAGTACTGTGAACTGTTAGCAGGTTAGGGACTGGAAACAGATTTTTAGGCTATTTTCTTTCACACATTCAGTTTAACTCCACATGCAGGAGATTCTTGTTCAGAGCAGTAGGTAAAAGGGTGGCTGCCTCCTTTGTGTTTGGTTTTAGGTAAGTGTAGAGTCAACAGCCACATTGTGTTTCATTCAAGTTTTATTTCCCCAGCAAGGTAGCTGTGTGCTGGAGAGGCTAGGAGGAAATCTTTTGTTATTTCATTGATTTGGCTCGCTACAGTTCTTTGGTTGTGCACTTTTTTTATTTTGAATTTTAAGTTGGTTCACTGATCACTGACTTCTGAACAATAAACGGCATGAAAAGGCCTGATTACATTGAGATCATGTTGCTTCCCATATCCCTTGTGTCTCCTGGGTCATAACAAAGGTTGTTAATTATTTAGCTTCAGAGGTGCTGGGAGGTAGATTTTGTTCATCTTCCACAACAAGCCAGATGAGCTGTTTCTCCCTGTTTCCAGGCTTTATGCTAACATAAGCTAACTGGCTGCTGACAGTTTATCCTGAATGAAAAAAACATGAGTGTTGTATCAATCTTCTCATGTAATTCTCTGTAATAAAGTGGATACGTGTACTTTCTAAAAATATTGAGCTATTCTGTTAAAGGAGCTATTTGTTAAGTTTTGCCATTGCTACACAGCTAAAGTTAGCATTAACAGCTGTTTACCAGTCTAGAGGAAATGTTGTGAGTTCAACATCAAACTTCATTCCTTTACTAACCAACAGCTGTCTTCACAGGTGGAAAAAAACCCCCAGCAATGTTATCTCTTGTTCTCTATCACATCTTTTCCTCCGCTGAAGTCAGCATGCTAACCAGGTAGCCCTGGTCCATCTCATCACTTTCAGATAATGACTCACTGTAGCCTATTTGCCTATCTGCCCTGGAGACGTGGCGCGCACTATAACCTCTTATCTTGCAAACCCCACAATGGCCGAAGCTCTTGTCAAGCGAAAATCACCACCAACTGCTCCTGACAAAAAACAACGATTGGGGGCAGAGAAAACGTACAAATAGCATCTTTAAGTGATACACTCAGCGAGCACTTTATTAGGAACACCATACTAATACTGGGTAGTTCATCCCTTTGCTCTTAAACAGCCTCAGTTCTTCATGTCACTGATTCCACAAAGTGTCGGAAACTTTCTTTTGAGTTTCTGCTCCATGTTGAGATGGATCTCATAATTTGTCAGTTGTACATTCATGCTGCCAATCTCCTGTTCTACCACACCCCAAAGCTGTTCTACTGGATTCAGGTGTGAAGACTGAGGAGGTCACTGAAGTTCACTGAAAGTCACTGTCTTGTTCATGAAACCAGTTTGCACCACCAGCAGCCTGGACCGTTGACACATGGCAGGTTGGGTTCATGGATTCCTGTTGTTGATGCCAAATTCTGATCCTACCATCTGTGTGCCTCAGCAGAAATTCAGATTCATCAGACCAGACAACATATCTCCGGTCTTCAACTGTCCAGTTTTGGTGAGCCTGTTCTCAAGTAAACTCTATAGGGACTGAACAACAAGCACCAACAATCATGCAGTCAAAGTCAAAGTCACTGAGATCACAATTTTTTCTCCATTATGCTGTTTGGTGTGATCATTAACTGAAGCTCCTGACCTGTATCTGCATGATTTTATACACTGCACTGTTACCACATGATTAACTGCTTGGATAATTGCATGCATGAGATGTTCAGCGGGTGTAGCTCAGTTCTTTTAGCCAAATGAAAACCATGTGATTAAACACTTGTGGCATGAAAGATTATAACAGTCTCATTTCTCTTTCAAGAGATGAATTAAAAAACAGCCCAAAACACAAAGACTCATGGATTCAATAAAATCAATTGATTTTTAACATGTGACAGTCTTTCAAGCTTGGTAAATCTCACATAACTAAATGCAGTTTGCACTGACACCTCTTCATGTGGTTTAACCTCTATGTTGGCCAAACAATGCAAACAATTGCCATAATATACCAATAAATGACCACGTTATGAGTCCATATGACTTTCGTTTATAGGACCTCGTTTTCACGCAGTGTGGATGTTAACACAGTGTATGAATTACATTAAACTCCCTCTAGGAGGGATTGCAGCCTGTAACTCATCTGTAACCTACCTACTGTACCCATAGCCTGATCTTCCTCCAGGTGGCCTGCTTTGGTTTTGTTTTACATGAAGAGATTGGTAGAGGGGACTGGTCTTTCCATAACCAGGATAAGGTCCTCCTATAGATCAAAACAGTCAGCAAGGGAAACAACAGCAGATCCTCAAGGTAATTCAGCGCCACCTGCTGATTTCAACATGAGGATACCTTCATCAATGACCCATACGCCTTCAAAAATACATACAGAAAGTAATAAAATACCTACACTTCAATTCGGAAATGAGAACAGAAATCTCTATGAACTGCTTTTCATGAGTTGATAAATAACATTGAATGTGACAAGTGATAGATAATGGATATGTTTGATAGCCATCTGCAACATAGAAACAAAAGCCTTTTACTTAGCACTACTCTAACACTTCTGTTTTTGCTCCCATTTTAATGAGTTTACATTAAAGATCTTACTGTATAAAATGTGTTTAAATTCGTGTCTGTGAGTATTTCTCCTTTGCCAATGTAATCCATCCACCTCACAGGTGTGGCATATCAATATGCTGATTACACTGCATGATTATTGCCCAGGTGTGCTTTGGGCTGATCACAATAAAAGGCCACTTTAAAATGTGCAGTTTTATTTAAAAAAAGAAAAAAAGAAAAAAAGAAAAAAAGAAGACATTTATTAGGTACTGAACTGACTTGGGCTACAGATGTGCATTTTCTTTTTCTTTTTTTGGGGGGGGGGGTCGTGGATCAGAAAATTTGTCAATACCTGGTGTGGCACCTACTTTGCACAGAGTTGATCAGGTTGATTGTGGCACTAAATAAAACTAAACTAAACCTTTCTATCATGCTTATGCCTCCTAGCTTTCAGTATCTCTACTAATTTTGCGTTTATGGTTGTAAAATGAGGGCTTACCTTTCAAAGTAGACCAGGATTATGACTGAAAGGGTTGTAGAATAGTATCCTTTTTTTTATTTTAAGCACATTATTTCCGGTATCGTACACAGAAATGAGCCTGGTGTCCAGAGACATAACTTCTGTCTCCTCCAGCACACGTCTTACAACTTGCAACTCCTGCCTTTTGCAAAAAAGTGATATCCATACGCTTTTATTTTGAAGGCGGGCTCTACTGTGTTCCGGTATTGTTCCGTGGTTTAACCCAGTGCGGTAAGGAGCTGACCGATGAATTTTAACGGGAGCGGAAAAAAAAGATGAGAGAAAAATGAAAGAGCGAGGGAGATAGAGAGGCGTAGAGAAAGAGAGAGAGAAAGAGAGGGAGGTAGAGAGGAGAGCTGTCGGACCATCCTACCAGCCGCTTCTGTAGAGGAGGGTGAGGCTTACTAATGTATCGTTGGCTCAAGTCTTTGTTGCCGTCAAGACAGAAGGAAAATCTGGCGTCCATAACGGGAGCGCGCCTTTATGTAAAATGCACATTGATTATATTAATGGTGTAGTAGTGTATTCGTGCTACCCAATAGTAGTTTAATCTGATCGTACTTTATCGCATCCCGTATCTCACCATTCGCATCACCACTGAGGTTAATGTCCTCTCCGATGTTTCAGGAGGGACTTGTACATTTGCTGTAATGTTTATGTACCCGGTTACAATACGGTAGGATTGATGTAGTTTGCAGGAGATCCGGGTGCTGTCGGTTTTGACAGACGGGGATCTGATGTTTCACGTTTACTATGGCAGCAGCGTGACCTGGAAACGCCGCTGTGAGCAGGCCCGTCCACCCCATCTATCAGTGTTTGACTGAGCGACAGGCTGCAGACAGTGAAGGAAAACAAACAGTGGTGCACGTCGTTGTTTGCTTTGGCTCAGATTGCAGCAGCGCACACGCTGTTTTGTGTGTTAAGGATATATACATATATGTGTGTGTGTACGTGTGTCTCCACTTGGTGCCTCCGTCATATCTGTGTGTCTAATCAGACACACTGCCCCTGTCTGGTTTGCAGTGTTTCAACATGACAGCCCTGCGTCAGAGGAAGGGCAGCAAGGGGAAGGAGCACCCTCCTCTTGGTGCAGAGTTTCAGTCCCAGCAGCCCAACTGTTGCACCGATCATCACCCAGAGAAGATGTTGCATGGTGAGTGAGCCATCCTCCCACCCAGCTGATTCTCATACATGGCAGCGGTAGCAGAAGCGGAATGGCCCAGTGGCTGCAGAAAATGCCCTCTTATGGGGGGGTGAGCATGGCTGGCAGCCATCCAGTGTCTTTGGTCAGATCCAGCTCCAGGGTCAATGTTCTGTGTCTGACCCTGACCTCTGACCAGCTGTGGGTGCAGAATGGGAAGGAATGTTCGTAGTTGGGTTTAAGTGAAATGCCACATTTACATAACTCACTCTGCGGCTTAAAGCCTGCACTCTGACACCTTTTGTGCCCTGTGCATATGCAGTCACGTTTTGGATGTGTTGCATCCTCGGAGGATGTGAGGAATAATGAATAAAAAATCTGTGAGCTTTTCTTCCACATTTCACAGATTTAGATTTAGGTTATTGAAATTAAAGTTATTTATATGATACGAATAATCTGTATTTCACTAATATCCACTGAACAAAAGTCTCAGGTGTAACAAAAAGCATTAATAATAGTTCCATTACATTTAGGTTTTTGTGTTGAAATGGACTCTGTGGACTGGCTTACTGCAGGACTTTAATAAAGTGCTGCCATCATAATTGTTTTTAATGACACTTGTGGTATGTATGGTATGACAAATCAAAAATATTTGCTGTACAAAAGAAGTCATTAAAATTTCACTTGATCGTAACAACTTAACGATGTGTTTACGTTCCTGCAGGTGATTGGTCGTGGGGGGCTATAGTCTGGACATCTGTCGGCTGGTCCGTGTCTGTTGGTCTTGGCCTGCTGTGCTGCATCTACGTGGCCACACTACACGAGAACGACCTGTGGTTCTCCAACATCAAGGTAAAGTTCCCTTCACTGTTACAATGTTTATGTCAGGTAATTATTTTGCTAACACAGGGACACTTTAATAGAACAGATGCATGTTATTAGGTACACCTGCGCTTTTCCTGTGATAACAAGTCAAAGTTGCGCCTTTATTCCGTCTCGTTGTTCTGTATGAAAGGCACATATACAGAAGGGGGTGGTGGGGGGTTGGAATGTTGATGTCCCGCCTTTAAGCCGGCAGTGGAGGTAATCACAGAGCCGGATCGATGTCTGTGTAAAAAGGGACACACATTATGGTGGGACAGACCCTGAATGCCAGCATGTAATCTGAAACTGCACACTGGGGTGGCATTATGAAACAGGTAAGGCATATTTAAACTGGCAGATTTTTTGACGGGGGTTTTGTGAGTTTCTCATTATACAAGAATGGAGTGAATTAGTGTTCCTGTTTACTAGAGATGATGGTAAACAATAAAAGATGTTTATGGGGATGATCTCTTGCCAATCCGTTTGTCCACTGACTGTGTACCATAATGCATATCCAGATGTTTCAGTGGTTTAGTAAGAACTATAAACTTAATGGCTGAATGTCCCAATGACAATTAAACACAAAGTATTGCCACTGGGTTTGTGTCAGGCCAGGAAGAAGGTCTGGGAATGTTGGATACACGTGGTCTCTTTTATCTCTTTTATGAGGCTCTTGTTAAGGAGCAGCAGAGATGGCCGGATTGATGTGTCTGACACTTTTATATGGAGGTTATCGTAGGTTTTGACATCCATGTGTAAAACTCATCAAGAACATCACAGATTAGATATTTGCAGATGGAAAATGTCTGAACTTCGAAAAGCTAAAAAATTCCACTCACATTTTCTGCTTATCTCAAGAGGAAATGTAGCTTCAATATAAATGCCGATCAGACATTCTCCCCTCATCCAGTTTTCCCCCTAAAATATCCTGCAAGCACGTCATAAACACTTCATCCTGAAATGGGATGATTGTTTTTCCATGCACTGCAGAGGATTGATTCTTCAAGCCCGTTAAAAGAACCATGTGAAGTCGTGAAACACCGGGGCAACTGGTTGTTGCACAGTCCTTTTTAGAGTCTGTTCAGTGTACAGCAGCAGAACATTGTGCCCTGCCAGATATGATGTCATTTTTAAATCCCTCTTGCAGAGCTTCACCAACACTCTGGTTCAGGCTGAGATGCACAGAGCAGATTTTGACCTGGTTGACATGGCAGAACAGATTGCTCTGTCATAGTCATAACGGGGCCAAAATGTAAATGAACACCATTGCTTTGTGTTGTGTTTGCCACATTTAGAGGTGCAGTAATAGTCATGTGTTTTGGTAGATGTATGAGTCCACTGAGGCAAGGATTGCAGGTCACTCTGGTATGGCCCATTTTAGTCTCATGTTGTGTGGTTTGCAGATGATTTTACAATATTATAGGATGAGTTTTTGTTTAAACAAGACTAGGTCAAAACCTAGTATACTGCTGGACTGTGTATGGTCAATGTGCGAAAGTGAGGATGCAGATGAGATGCTGATTTTATAACCGACAGACAAAAATGTTCTGAGGATTTCTAGCAGTGTAAATTTCAACTGCTAGTCAGAGATGGGACTACATCAATACCAACCGCAACCTAACCCACTCCTCTCCTGTTAGTTAGCTTGCTATTTTCCCTAGTCACATAGCCATGTCCAACTTTGCCTGTTGGCAGCACAAAGCAAAAACAAACACTGATAGTGATGGTGAGGTTGCTGAGGGGAAAAAAATCATCCAGACGACAGCTAGTGTTGTAGAGCCAAAACACAATGCTTCTCAACTCCCCAGAGGCAATAACTGAAGCCATAAATGGTTTTTACAAATTTTTTGATTTTGTGTTTTATTGCTGCTACAATTTTATCTGTTTTGTTTTTGTATCAGATCGTGGATCATGTATCTAGATTGGTATCAAGTCTTAGGGTTAGATGCTGTACACACCCCTAACCATAGCAGAACTATTCTTGGTGTTATGAATTAAATGATAAATCCATGGTCAAATAGCTCTATGACAGACATTTACCTAGAGTGTATAAATCATAAATACTTTAAGTTCAAAAACTATGTTGACTATGTTGAATTTTGAGTTCATCGCTAGAAAGTTTTTCAGTTTGGTGGGAGCTGGTCTTTGCCAATACAGAGTAACTGTACCTGAGGGCAGAGGGCCATCTGTACATATTGGTTCAGATTTTGAAGCATTATCCTAATCACAGACCAGACTTAAATTTTTGTGTGGAACAGAAGAGAGAGTGAGGAATCAAACAAAACAAATGAACAGACAGACCCCCAAAAAACCTACCGCTCACAATTAGTCTAATCCGTCAGCGGTGACTTGCTGTGCCAGCCAGGTGCTTCATCTGTTTCTCATGCAAATGAACAGTGCGTCTTGACCCACATCGAGACAATCTGCACAGGGTAATTTGTGAGTTTTTGTCACAGGGAGACAAAGCAGCACATCCAGTTAATTGAGCGGAGTCCACATGGACACAGATTGTGGTGTCTTGTTTCTGCTCATGTGTGTATGTGAAGGGTAGAGGCAGGCAGATGCTTTCATGTATTAAAAATGCAGGTCACTTTACTGGTGAACATTTTCCCAAAATGTTCCCACATAACAGGGCTCCTGGCTGACATCATCACACATTGAACACGTGTGTCTGTGTGTGTGTGTGTGTGTGTGTGTGTGTGTGTGTGTGTGTGGTTGGTGTGTGTGAAGTGTTTCCTTCTGTTAATGCTATCAGTGACTCTTTCTAAGGCTATGATCACACAGAGCTGCCTCAATGTGAAAATGCTCTTTACAAGCAACGGCAACATGTGTCCACACTTGCACATTCAGACTGCTTTCGTCAACACTAAAAAGCTCACACAATAAGAAAAGTCTTCAAATCTCTTACAATCTCTTTTGGTCAGCAAACAACAAAAACATGCATCACAGCCAGCCTCTTGTCAGGAGTTGGACAGACAGCCTGGTTAAGGCAGCAGTACACCCAATCAGAGCTGCATGTTGGATGGTGGAACAGCTCTGGAAACCCCCTCACCACAGCTTTTTAGGGGGCTGTGTCTGACAATTCATGTAGCTTTCTGAAACTGACAGTCCAACATTCAGACCCACCTCTTCCAGTACTTGGTCAGGTATGTGGAGGTGAGAATGTAAGCTGGGTTTGAACTTCTTTCTCAAGCTCTCTTTTTCTTGTGTTATACAACCATTTATGGCAAAAAGAGTGCATGTCTCCCAGGAGAGACTGTCTGAAAATGTGTTGGCATTATCCCCCCTATTTAAATGGTAACAAATCTCCCTTCTCACTCCATCTTACAGTGCGGTCAATCATGCCAGGTATAAACACTTGATTTTCCAACATGGTTGGACAATGCATTTTACACTTGTTGTTTTTGCACAATCTGGCTCTTAGGCTATGTCCATACCACTATATTTCATTTTAAAACAAAAAGTAGACTAGCTTTTTAGCTCTGTATCAGAGATTAATTCCGTCCATACTATCACACCTGAAAATGCATATCACATGACCATTCATGTACACTGGAAATGTGCGTGCCAGCGTAAACAGGAAGCAGATTGTTGACTCTGCAGTTGGATAGTTGCAGAAAATAATATTAATGAGGAACAGCAAAGGCAATGGTAGCGTTAAAATGCAGAATTTAACTGAACAACAGCTGCTGGCAAAAACAACAAGGTCAGCAATGCTTGTAATTTGTTATACATGTTGCATTCATCACTGGTAAAACCCAATCAGCAGCCTTGGGTGTTTACATCATCGTTTCCAATGCTCTCAGTTTTTGAGCCTCCAGACTACAACGCAACCTCAGAGTTTTCAAACTAAAAACTGCTTCTCTCCTACTCTCTGTGTTCACATACACAGTATTTTAATGCAGCCAAATTCTCAATAAAGTGTGTGGACACCACGTAAACATAGCAAAAGTAATGCGTTTTAAAACTAAAATGTAATGGTGTGGCCTTAGGCTGTGCTCAGACATACATTAGCACAGCTCCCTCATTCTTTTCAATGACGCCCCTGCACTGGCACAGCAGGGGTGCCGACACTAAAGGCTCCAATAACAAAATGCAGGATCAACTGTCAGAAAAGTGAAGATTCAGATCAACCTTTCCTCTTGCTGTGTTTGCCAGTCAAATTTGTGCAAATGCATTTTTTCCGGTTAGTTTTTCTAATGTGAACGGCATATTTGTTCTGTTTATCTTGTAACTGTACAGACAGAGGATAGAGATTGTTGAAGTGATACTCCAAACTGGACTCAGAGATTTGGATTTCTGTTTGCACAATTAAAGGCTGTGAATTAGTCCTTTTTTCCTGTGGAAGATGCATGGAGATCTGTCTCTATTGGAATTCATCATCTCACTGGTACCTGAAACAAGCATGCCCCCATCAACGCAGCTCATTGTGTATGTGGCTGTGTTTTTTTTTTTTTTTAATGCAGAGCTGTTTTCATTCTGAACCCCTGGTAAAATTTCTGCTGAGTCTCTCCTGCTCTTTGTAATTACTAATGATGTGTTTTAATACAGTTAAACTCATCATTTAGTTATCATTCACATAAATTTCCATCTCTGTTATCAGACAAATAAATTAACATAAAATAGCAATCACAAGCTGATTAAATTACGAACTCTCAACAAGACAAACAGTAATTCCTGCGCTGCTGCACTGAGATGTTGATCAAAACACTTTTCTAAGACTGCGAAGTTGTCTGACATAATAAACATCAATACAGGTTAATAACAACACTAGGCAGGGGTTTCTGTGTGTTTTGTTTTGTACTTCTATACAATAGCAGTACTATTTTCAGATTTTGAATCCTAAATCTGATTCCACATGCTACATTGTCCAGAAAAAAACACACACGCACTTTTCCGAGCCGCAGCAACACACTATTCAGATGCTTGTGGCCGTGCCAGCTGATGGCTTGAACTCCCCGCTGTCAGTGAACTACTTGCTGTTTCTT